TCTGAAGAGAAGATTTCGGACTTCACTGTGAATGTTCTGTTGGTGAGAAAAAGAAGAGAGCCAGTCTAGAGCAGAACCTGAAATCCCAGCCAGGGCCTTTAACCTGTTTAGTAGAACGTTGTGGTCTACAGTGTCAAAAGCTGCATTGAGGTCAATCAGGACCATGACAGAGCATTTCCCTGCATCAGCAGCCATTAGGAGGTCATTGTGCACCCTTACTAGAGCAGTCTCAGTTGAGTGCTGCTTCAGAAAGCCAGATTGGAAGGGGTCAGAGATCTTTGACTTAGAAAACCAGGATCTGAGTTGGGTTTCAACAACCTTCTCAAGTACTTTGCTGATGAAAGGTAGTTTAGAAATGGGCCTAAAGTTACTGGTGGAGCTGGCGTCAAGGTTGGGTTTCTTTAAGAGAGGAGTCACCACTGCATTTTTAAAGTAAGATGGAACACAGCCTTGGCTCAGTGAGCTGTTGATTATAGTCAACACGCCATCTCTGAGGTGATCCATTATCAGGGTTCATCTCCAATAACTCAATTAGCTCCAGTATCAAGTGTTGATTTGCACAAAGCAGATATTTTAAAGCACGGAGGCTGCAGTTCTGTTGTATGTGAGCAGAGTGCACCGATGGAGTACGCATGTTTTTCAGCTGCAGAGCGGTTGAAGTAACATCATTGCAAAAATGTGCAGGTTTTGTTTAGCAGCAGGAGAGAGAGAGGGCAAGCAAAGTGAGAAACATGGAGGGCCCGGACTGATAGTAACGCTTTTGAACTAAACTGCAGTAAAAAGTGGGGGTTTAACCTTCTCATTAGAAAAAGCGTGGGTCTTAAAACATTCACAAACCCCACGGGTGCGACGCCCATGCAGGTGTTACAGCTAAATCTGTTACCTAGCGTAATGTGTGACTGCGGAGGGCTCTAATGAGTATTTTTCATTTCTGTAACAACTGTTACAGAAGAGATTTTGGTCTTCACGGTTTTTACTGGCCTGATTAACATTGTAGTGACTGAAAACGTCATTTACTTTGTATTTGAAGTAGAGCAATATGTGCTGAACTTTCTTACGGATAGTGGGTGCTTTGTTGAACTTTCAAAACATTTTATTTCTCTCCTACGTTCTTTAAGCAGTCTGGACTCATCTGATTCTGTTTAACATCATCCTTAAACAAACACTGTTCATTTATTATTGGTAGAATATTCTGTGACTGAGTGTAAATCTGTATTACCATACCATACCATACCATACCATACCATACCATAGTTTATTTATATAGCACATTTAAAACGCAGCATGGGAGCTGCCCAAAGTGCTGCACAGGCTAAACCAAAACACATCCAATCCAGGCAACTAAAACAGAAGACAAAACACCAATCAAAAGCAGATAAAACATGAGAATACTAAGAACACTAAAACAATAACACAATAAAACACTAAAACAAGTCACTGTCTAAAAGCCACATCGTAGAACTGGGTCTTTAAACGAGATTTAAAAACCACCAATGATGGAGCCTGCCGAACTATAATGGGTAAGGAGTTCCACAGCTTTGGAGCAGCATGTACAAATGCTCGTTCACCCTGTGATTTCCATCGCGTCCGGGGCGTGCAAAGCAGCAGGAGATCAGCCGACCTCAATGTGCACGTGGGTACATAGGGAGTGAGCAGGTCAGAGAGATAGGGAGGTGCCAGGTCATTGAGTGCTTTAAATACAAAAGCCAATAACTTAAACTGTACTTGGAAAATGACAGGGAGCCAGTGAAGATCTGCCAGGACAGGGGTAATATGGCTACGTTGGTGCGTATTTGTCAAGAACCTGGCAGCAGCGTTCTGGACAACATGTAGCCGATTCAGGGCAGAGACCAGAGCACCAACTAGAAGGGAGTTTGCATAGTCCAGGCGAGAGGTAATGAAAGCATGGATGACTGACTCCAAATGCCTCAGATTCAAGATTGGTCTGAGGCGAGTAAGGTGGCGAAGCTGATAAAAGCAAGACCTCACTATGGAGTTTATTTGTGGGGCCATTGAGAGTTCAGCATCCAGCTTTACCCTGAGACTTGTCATGTACTGTTTGGAGTTAAAGGTTAAAAAGGTCACAAACAGGGTGAGAGCCATAGTGGTTGCGGGGGCCAAAAACTATAGACTCAGTCTTCCTTTCATTTAACTTTAAGAAGTTGGATGCCAGCCAGCCCTTCACGTAATTTAAACATGCAGCCAATCGCGAGCCCGCATTCTTCTCATCCATTACTACATATAATTGACAGTCATCAGCGTAAATGTGATATCTCAGGCCGTGCTGATTCAGGATTTTGCCCAGAGGCAGAAGGTAGATAGAAAACAGCAGTGGTCTGAGAACGGAGCCTTGTAGCACCCCCCAAGGCAGTGGGGGACAGGAGGATGCACAGTCACCACCAGTCCTCACTTATGGTCATGAGCTTTGGGTAATGACCGACAGAACGAGATCGCGGAAACAAGCGGCCGAAATTAGTTTCCTTCGTAGGGTGCCCGGGCTCAGCCTTAGAGATAGGGTGAGGAGTTTGAACATTCGGGAGGGACTTGGAGTAGAACCGCTGCTCCTCCAGATTGAAAGGAGTCAGTTGAGGTGGTTTGGGCATCTGGTCAGGATGCCTCCTGGACGCCTCCCTGGGGAGGTGTTTTGGGCATGTCCTGCCGGCAGGAGGCCCCCGGGTCGATCCAGGACACGTTGGAGAGGTTACATCTCCATTCTGGTCCGGGAATGCCTTGGGGTCCTGCCGGAGGAGCTGGTAGAGGTGGTTGGGGAGAGGACGGTCTGAGCTCCCTAGTTGGGATGCTGCCCCCGCTACCCAGACCCAGATAAGCGTAGGAAGAAGACGATGATGACAAAAGAGCTGCAGCGAACTCCGCTTCAGTCCCCATGTTTATGAAAAACTCAGCATCGTGGTGTATGAAGTACGCTGCTCAGCGCTGTTTAGCTCTGTTAGAATTCACAGGGGGTGGGGTTAATTGAAGGAGAGTACCCAGACCAAATGCTTCCCATAAGGATGCATTGGGCTGGCTGGTAAGGCTACTAGACAAGGGGGGTGGGTGTGGGGTGTCTCTCAGCTTTACCCAGAGTGCCAGTGCCCACAAATTTTAAGCTGCATCTAAACACTGAGGGTTCTGGGGGTAAGTGGTGTTGTGTGGTGGTATCAGCTGGTGTAGGCCAGACCATGCCCCCCCCCCCCCCCCCCCCACACACACACACACCACCACCACCACCAACCACAGAATGCACTTTAACAAAATGCATCAACACCATGTTGGAGAAGACTGAGAGAGACTGGGGGTCTTATCACACCTCTGTTCTCGGTTATCTGACCAGGGCTGGAGTCTAGGAGTAGGAGCTGGTCGTCTGGTATGGGTCTGAGGTGGTGTGTCGCTTAGCTCTGCATTGGGTGGGGGTACCTACTCCTCATTACCTCAGCAGAATGGGGCTAGCTCTGATGTCTGGGAATGGTTGCGCCCTCTGTGCAGCAGTACCGGGACCAGAGTGAGTAGGTTGTGTATGGGGAGCATGAGCAAAAAAAGGAACTTTTATATATCCTCATGTTGTTGATGCAATGATATTTTGGTCTTGTTGTATTTTTGTGTACACTTTTTTTCTCTCTCTCCTTCTGCAGATCTAGAAGCACATTTTTTCTCATCATTTATTATTTAAGTTTGTGAACCCCCCTCCCCCACCTCTTCCTTCTCTCTCCACCTTTCTCTTTCACTTCTGTCCCTGTGTCCGTTGGTATTTCAAGCAACTGAAAATAATTCTAATAAAGTTTTGGTATCAGGGGTGGCGTTATAGCAGAAGCTATAACGCTCTACCTGTGACAATAAAACTGCTAGCTTGTCTTTGGCATTCAGACATTAATTCTGTTTGCTACACAGCTTGACAGGACAAGGTAAAAAATACAAAAAAGCTGCAGAAATTGATGCATCCCAGAAGAGGCTCATGGAAAGAATAGAACCCAGTACTATCTTTAGCGGCAGCGCCATGGACGTAATTTTCACTTTAGAAGTGTGTGTGTGTGTGTGTGTGTGTGTGTGTGGGTGGGTGGTGGTGGGGGTGGGGGGGGGCTCTAATGGGAAACTTGCTTCAACACAAACGGTTGTTTTCCGCTTGGTCCTAGAGCTCAACCAGTGTCAATTTAATATAGTGTAAAGTGCAGGGATCAAAACTTGACTTTTGAAAAAGTGGGGGGGACATGTCCCCCCCCCCCCCCCCCCTAAATTACGTCCATGAGCGGTGCAGCAAGCCGCTTCTGGGAGGCATCTGAAAACAGACTGTAATGAATTCTATGTGAAGCAGTGCCGTTATGTGCTGCTGATGCTTCCAGTGTGCAGTAGAGGTTCTGACTGCATGCCCACAATTAACCATTTCCTGTCTATGTAATCCCTTTATTGTTTTTCTAACCTTGGAAATGGTTGAACTGAAACTACATCTTGTTGTACTGGGACATTGGTTCAATGACAATAAACTTCTATTCTATTCTAAAGGGGTTGTATAAAACAAAACAGTAAACACAGTCAGCAATTTGTGCACAAACCTTGCATTTACTTCTTTTTCAGTTTGATTACTATAACTCAATGCTGATCAACACGCTGGATGGCGATGGTAACTATGTGCTACTGGGTGGAGAGTTTCCACTTGAGGAGAATGAACATTTCAACAAGTTGCCAGTCAACACTCAGCAGAGTAACATCCAAGTTCCTACTAATGTTTACAACAAAGGTAAGAGATGTTTTAAATAAAATTAACTCTGGTAGCAACCTAGTTTGCTAAAGATCTAACTCAGGCTTTGTCTTTCAGACCCAAACATCCTAAATGCAGTCTACAACTCTGAAGCTTTAAATGATGTTTTCATCAGCAACTTTCAGAGAGATCCTACGCTGACCTGGCAGTACTTTGGCAGTTCTTTTGGCTTTTTCAGGATCTACCCAGGTAGGTTTTATGTGATGAACAACACAGCTTGCATAGGTACACACATTTGATCACACTACAATGTTTTCTTTAGAATAAACTGCAACATTTACTCAATCACTGGAATTTTGTGATTTTCCAGAATCCTTTTATGGTAAAATAAATTTTCATCTGCAACTGGTATCACTTCTGTTATATATTTTTTTGCAAATAACCAGAATAAATGACCACCTGTTGAGGCTGAGGTACCAATAATTTCTAGATTGCTTGTTTCCATTGCTCAACGTCTGTGGAATCTCTCCCCATATTTGCTGAATTTTGTGAAGCTGGTTTTTGACATGTAATAAAATTATAGCTGCTTTTTTAACTTCCCACTAATGTCTGGTTAAGGAGGAGCCACAGCAAATATATTTGAGTTATTATAAAAAAATTGTCTTTCACAGTTAAAGAAAGGTACAAGATGTAAGAGTGAAGTAAGAATGACATTCTTTAGTTCCTGCTGTCAATTTTTATAAGCAAAAAATAACTTCCTCACTACCATCCCATGAGTTTCATGGCTGTTTCCACTGCTAGTTTTGAATGAGCCCCCAAATAGTCCCAAAATAAGTAGACAAATACATAGTTGTATCTGGTGTTAGTACTCTTGGGTGTTTTACGGTAGGGAGCACCTACTACACTTATTTCAGTAGTAATTCTCTGGCATTCTCTGGCCAGACGCCATCGAATGTGAGCATTTGCCCACTCAAGTCTGTTACAGCGACAAGCTGGAGTCAGGTCAAGACCCCGATGAGGACGATGAGCATGGAGGTGAGCTTCCCTGAGATGGTTTCTGACAGTTTGTGGAGAAATTGTTTAGTTATGCAAACCAATTGTTTCAGCAGCTGTCTGAGTGGCTGGTCTCAGACGATCTTGGAGGTGAACCTGCTGGATGTGGAGGTCCTGGGCTGGTGTAGTTACACGTCATCTGCGGTTGTAAGGCCGGTTGGATGTACTGTCATGTTCTCTGAAACACCTTTGGAGACAGCTTATGGTGGAGAAATGAACATTCAACGCACGAGCAACAGATCTAGTTGACATTCCTGCTGTCAGCATGCCAATTGCACGCTCCCTCAATGCTTGTGGCATCTGTGGCATTTTGCTGTGAGACAAAACTGCACATTCCAGGGTGGCCTTTTATTGTGGGCAGTATAAGGTACACCTGCGCACTACTAATAATGTTGGATCAGCATCTTGATATGGCACACCTGTGAGGTGGGATGGATTATCTCAGCAAAGCAGAAGTGCTCACTATCACACATTTAGACTGATTTGTGAACAATGTTTGAGAGAAATGGCAATATTGTGTATCTGGAATGAATTTTAGATCTTTAAGTCCATCTTATGAAAAATTGGAGCAGAAACAAAGGTGTTGCGTTTATATTTTTGTTGAGTGTATTTACAAGACAGAACCTTTTTGGTGTGTTTAGAGAACTGTGAATCCTTTTTTCTGCCTCTGTCCTCTGTTCTGTGTCATAAAACCATAAAAGAATAAAATAATCGAAAGTGTGTTGACAGAGAAAGACATTCCAGGGGCTTTTCTTGATGGCGACCCTGCTGGTTATTGATTGTCAGAACTGAAGCACTGCCTCGAATGTTATGATCAAAGTTTAAATGTGACACTACACGAGGCTATTGAATAAGTGCACATATGTATTACAATGAAAATACAGGTTTATCCTGGAATAAATAGTGGCAAATGACACGGACTGAAAAAGAATGGTTTTGCTAGCCAAATAACACCTGCTACAGCCGGTACCATGACTGCTACACCCGGTACCATGACAACACATGGCAGCGGCTGGACCACATTCCCATCTGTACAAGTACCAGCAATGTTTACCTATGTACATGTTTAACACTACTTGATTGAATCATTCATTCAGTTTGCGCATGAGGAAAACTGTGTCAGCAGCAATGAGGACTCAGACAGAAACTGTGGATAAAAAAATACTATTAAGCCACATCCTGGCCAGGCCATAACATGAAGATGGGCCCATTTTCTGCAGATCTCAAGCAACTTTTTTTCTATTTACATTGATTTATTCATAACAATTACAATTTACAAGGGTTTTAACTAAGCACAAATTAAGATAAAAACTTGACAAGTTTCTGCCCCCAGTGGCGGAATATTTGTATCTATGCGTCTTATTTACGAGTGAAGGGAAAATGGAGTGCAACTCCCATAGGTGGCTAACACGATGTAAACGCGGAGCTGCCACTGACTGGAGCGAGCAGGTTGAGAGTGGATTGCAGTCTCCTGTTAAAATCATTGACAATAAGATCACAAGATGCAGGTACCAGAATAGGAGAGATCTTTCTAAAATCTTCTAGAAGACTAGCAGCCACTTCACAGGGGGAGATAACACTTCCTTACAGCTCTCACAGAGGTCTCCCGCTAGATAAACTGGTGATGCTAAAAAACACACCATAGTGGTCAGAGAAGGCCAAAAACTCAGAAAACTCTTGATTTAAAAGTGCACCCTGTTTAGGAGGCCTATAAACTGTGACACATAAAATCTGACGAGTGCTAAAAACTGTTGCTGTATATTCAAAGGAGTTAAAATGATCAAATAAAGCATGTTTGGCGGAAAGTGTTGATGAACTTATAAAAGCAGTACCGCCTCCCGTTTTGCTACTCCTCATTGAATAATTTAAAGTAAAATCTGGCAGAGAGGCCTCTGTGAGAACAACAGGTGCATCTGCACTCATCCACGTTTCTGTTAAAAGAAAACAATGATGTTATGGTCTAAAATTAGGTAATTTAATGAAAAAGTTTTGTTCAGCAGAGAGCGAACCTTTAGAAGAGCCATATTAACAGTTATTGGTGATGGAGTGCCTTTATTTCTTAATGAGAGTGGGACTTTTGGTAACAGTTTGAACCACGTGCGAACGCGGAGTTACGGTCTTAGGACATTTATAATCTCTTGACAACTCACCTATACCACACACACCTGCGACTTTGTCGCATAGAAAAGGGCTACCTGGACACAAGAAGTGAAGGCCATGAGTGAGAGAACACACTCGCAGATCCTGAACCAGACGAATGTCTGGCGTGCCATCATGCAATGTGACCACAGCGCCGTATGCAACTTGACGTGAGTGTTGTCTACCCAGTTACCCACATTGACCACGTCCTTCAGTCTGTAGATGTCCCCTGGGGAAACGATAGGTAAGTCGATGATGAACGCTAGATCCCTAGCAGCGGGATCGGCCCGTAACAGGGTAGCACTCCCGAACGAGAAAGCCAAGTGAGTCTGAAGGGCAGTCACATCACCCTTTGAAGCTCTAGTAAGCGCAGTCCGGACCATGTCCAAGGACACGAGGTACGGAGGGATCCTCCCTGTGAGGAGGGCGTCAATAGAGGTGCTCACGTCCCAAATGTAGTTGGACAGGCAAGTGGTCAGTATCTGAGTGTGTGCATAATCAACTCTAACGAAGGAACGCAGTTCGTTCACAACGGAGGTTGTTTTATGCAGAATGTTGCCATGTGTGTTGAGTACTACCATAGTATGGTGTTTGGATGCACCCAGTTGTTTTAACGCGTGCCGTTGGTGAAGCACTTGTTTACGCAGGGATGAGAATTCCCTGTTGAGTTCATCAACATGTTGTTGCACTGTGTTGATCTTGACCGGGTTGACTGATGAGAACCCTAATTTAAAAAGTGAGCCAGTTGTATTAGCAAACGAGAGAAAATCCAACAGGAAAAACTTCACTCTAACATGGATACCAGAAAGATCATTATTGGAAACCGTGAATTTCTGTGCCTGGAGTAGTATGTGAGAGACGTCTGCTTCAGTGTGCCATGTCATCGTACAAGTCCAGGTAGCCCCAGTTTCCTAGAGGGTGCCGAAGGCACTTATCAGTTTCTGAGTACACACCATTGCAGGGTCAAACTTTACAAACATCTTTTGTGTGAATAGGTGGTAGTTAGCCATTAACAGACCTGGGCGCTCCCAGAGCGTGATACCCGAAGAGGGCCCAGGCTCGTACAGTCACGTTGGGGTAGGCTGTGGAGGGAGCTTTGCCATTTTTGACATCAGACAGACACACGCAACTAGCACAAGATACTTGGTCAGCCCCAAAAACTGAAACCAAGGACGATATAGACTGTAGACCGGTGTAGGCGTGGCCTTTTGAGGGTTTGGCGCAGGGGTGCGCTCTGTAGGGCCCCAATTCCCCAATCCGAGTTATCCCGTGTGGGGAGATCGAACCGACAGATGATGTGATTCATCAAAAGGACAGCAGTTTGTGGCATGTCGTTAGGTGCTGGTAGACATTCAAACCATTTGGTGAATGCACAGGCCTCGGTCTAGAAGTATTTGTTACCCCTGCTGGACTTGGCCAGGGGCCCCACCCAATCAAATTGTAAGTCAAACCACGGTGTGGACATTCCCCTGCTCTGTAGAGGAGCTCTTGAAATTGGCAGCAAACCAAACAGCTCTGGATCTTGTCTGAGATGTTGCGACGCATCTCCGTCTAATAAGCGACCTGGCTCAGGGCACCGAACGTGGTTTTGACACCTGCCATCAACGTACACAGTCAGCAAATCCACACAGAGAGCTTGGTCGAAGTAGTGGTTGTTGGGATTCAGCAGAGTCTAGGGAGGGTTAACTTGTAGGACTGATGCAGCAGCGTTGTCTGAGCAATGCTGGCACGCAGCCAGACCCATGCCAAGAGGACTACGGCGGTTTTGGGTGCAGTGCACCACACCATCTCTGATGTTTGTACGGTATCAGTGAGGCGGCTTTGTCTAGGCTTCAGCTTGTTCAGAATTCTGCAGCAAGGTTCTTGACTGGAGCCGAAAGAAGACACCACATCTTACCTATTCTTAAAACGCTTCACTGGTCGCCCGTTAAATTCAGGATCAATTATAAAATTTTACTTCTCACACGTTCAAATCCTTGAACGGTCAAGCGCCTCCCTATCTGTGTGATCTCCTTCATTACTACCACCCTCCTCGTGCTCTTAGGTCTGAAGATCAACTCCTCTTAACTGTCCCTAAGGCACGTTTGAAGACTCGTGGGGAAAGGGCTTTTTCAGTCTGTGCCTCAAAGTTATGGAACTCATTACCACTGCAGGTTAGGCAAGCTTCCTCTATCGCCGTCTTTAAATCTCGTCTGAAGACCCTCTACTTCACTTACGCATTCGATCCCTAATTCCATAACTCCTTAGCTCATCCATTGTCCCACCTAGTCAATTCAATTCTAATTTTGTGTTTTTATATTCTGGTTTTATTTGCTTTTACTGTTAATAGTCTGTTGTTTTTATTTCTTTTGCTTCTTTTTACATTTTCCATCTACCTGACTATTTTAACTTGAGTTTTCTTGCTTGTTTTTTGTGCAGCACTTTGTATGGTTGTAATGCCGTGTTAAAAGCGCTATATAAATAAAGTGGTATGGTATGGTATGGTATGGTATGGTATGGTATGGTATGGTATGGTATTGACTGTTCAGGAAGGTCACTGGCTGATGTTGAGTTTCAATGATTATTTTCTGTCCATCGATGTAGCTGGAGAAGGGTTTTACCACCCACATCGTGGAAAGCAAAGCTTTTTCACAGTCCGAGTATTTTAACTCAGGACCGGACAAGATATTACTAGCATAGGTGACGGCACACCTGTCGCAGTCATGCACCGCATAGAGACTGGCATTTAAGCAGTGGTCTGAAAACCCGACCTCAAGGTGGAACTCCCTGTCACTATCAGGAAGTGCCAGGCACAGAGTTGAGCATAACGTGGCCTTCAAGTCATCCATGGCCCGCTGCTGCTGCTCAGTCCACTCGAAAGGCACATCCTTTTCCAGCAGGACAGTCAGAGGTCTCGCCATCTCAGCGTAGTGTTCTACTAACTGGTGAGAGTAGTTGCACACAGCCAGAAAACTCCTAAGTTCAGAGACATTTGTTGGAGCTTAGATGGTGGCAACACCCTGGACTCTACTATGTTGAGGCTGCACTCCCTGTGGTGCCTCAAGGAGGCCAACAAACTGTACCTTCGACCTGCACCACTGACCTGTGGTGAGGGAAGTTTTTGCACCTGCTGCTGCAAGCTGACCAATGACGTGGTCCAGCTCGGACAGGTGGTTGTCCAAAGTACGTTTACGAATCAGCATATCACCGACGTAGATGATGGTACCTCGCTCCCGAGCATCAGGACAGGCTTTGACCAAGAAGATGCTGAACTCAGAGGGTGAGTTGGAGTATCCAAAATGACACTGTGTGAAGGTGTACTGGCAGTTAGCAAAGGTGAAGGCTAATTTATATTGGTCAGATTTATGGACAGGGATTGTCCATAATCAAGATGCAATGTCAAGGGTGGTAAAGTATTTAGCGTCTCTCACCTTCAGAACTTCTTGTTCCAGGCGGGCCATCGGCCACCGAGACAAAGGAACTTGTTGGTTGAGTTTCCTGTAGTCAATGGTTAGTTGCCACTTACCATTAGGTCTCCTTATTGTGTCATTTTGGATACTCCTTACCAGACAGAGTCAAGTGTATAGTTTATAAAAATGAATTTATTTCTTTTCCCTAAACCAGGGGTCGGCAACCTGTTCCCATCAAAGAGCCATTATTACCCATTTCCCACAGTAAAGAAAACACTGGGAGCCACAGCAGCCGCGGCGTTGTGGGCAGGGCCTACCCTCAGACAGCAGAGAGCGGCTTTAACCAATCACAACAGGTGATAGCAGCCAGTACCGGTCGCTCGTGTACGTCAAAATTATCTTTCATAAGACGATAATCAATAAAACGATTTATATAAAGTGGATCCAGAAGTTGTAGCCCGTCTCTGCCTACAATATTTTGATATTTTTCACCCTGTTGGTGGTTTTACTGAGCAGGTGCCCCTTTTGTCATACATTTCTTTTTAAAACATGTTTAGACTGTTCAGAATACAAATCCAGGCTCTGTCACGTTTGATTGTTGTAATTAAACTTTGTAGGTGGGGAAGGTCAGAAAAGGATCCGATCAATTTGTTTTTCCCTCATTTACAGTGACGGAGATAACGGCGCAGTGCGCCTGGCTCTGGTGTTAATCAAGTTTAATTATATCTCTTTGCAACAATTTTCACAAGAAAACAGAACAGTTAAAAGCAGGGCTTGTGTTGACCGGATAGTTCCCGTAATTGACCGTTTATTTTGACGGAGAAAGAATAGAAAGAATTACCCCGACGCATGCAGACGAACTGACATTTTATTCGTTTCGCACATCACAGATGTAGCTAAATCACTCAAGAAATGATTCCCATCTGAACATCTAATTTTAATTTGCATATTAAAACGCTCCCACCTGCATTCCACGCAAATGCAAACTTAGGCAAGGCAAGGTAGCTTTATTTGTATAGCACCTTACAACAGTATAAAACCCGACCAGTGTGCTTCACAGAAATTAAAACGTTAAAGATAACACACAACATAAAAATGCATGAAAACTAAAGCTTAAGAACTAACACTAAAAAACACTAAACAGACTCTCATGCTGAGTTACAAGCCAAATCATATATATAGGCAGGGGCGGTTCTAAACCAAATTTTCCAGGGGGGCCACAGTGGGGCCAGTATTTTTTCATCGAGGCGCAAGAAAAAAAAGGGAAAAAATAGGGCAATATCTTCTTTTTTGTCTCCGCCATATGACTCATTTTGTGCTTGTGCACAATTTTACCAAAGGAAATTCCTAGTACTGTGAAACTACTCTTTTTTTTTTGTTTTCTTCTTTTTCATATCTATCTTTACTATATTTTGGGGATCAAATTTATCAAAAAATTTTCTTTACTTTTTTCATCTATGATCTTATACAGCTGTATTTTACTAAAATAAGATTCAAATAAATTCATAAGTAAAGACAATGAACAAGTAAACCATGACAGCGAATGCAGTCATGGTTTACTTGTGAAAGTAAAACTGGCATGTTTTTATGGTACTCAGATAACAATTCTGAATGCTTCACCGCAACATGAGACTTGAGTAAAAAAATAATTCTAGTTGATTATTATAGTTTGTGACTTTATTTGAAGATTACATGTACTGTACATATGAAAAATAAACATTCAAACAAATTAAATATGTGCACAATACAATTTCAGACAATTTTTGCCTTTCAGACTTTGCATGTACCAAAAAAAACCCCTCCTCTCTCAGTTTCTTTTTTCCAGTTCCTAAATCCACATGGTGAGTCAAACACACTTCCTGCGCTACTTGGTGGGCTAAAATGTCTGCATACATGACAATAAGTAGAGTCCATAGTAACAGAATATTCAACCCAAGGATGACTTTCCTACCAGCTTGGCTGAAAGCTGCATCTTCTGTCTCCTATTAATGTCCATGGAAATGTCCTCAAATGAGGCTGAGTAGGTGGGTCATCCTTGCACTTGCTGATATCTGAAAGAAAATAAATGTTAGCATGAGGATAAAAGTAATAATTAGTTAATTCAGAGTCTTATTTTATCTATTTATTAAATATAAACAACAGAAATTTTGGTCCAGAGTCAGCATGCCTCAAATGCATTTTACACACAATATGAGCTGCAATCACAGAGGGGTTGTTCAACACCCACAAACCTGACGGTAGTGTACACGGTGCACATGACAGAAGATGTCCCTCTTTTTGCTCCTCACTCTCTCCCTCACAGCCTACATATTCCTCCTCACTCTCAGGGTGGACAGCCTCTGACCTCTCTGGTTCCTCTCCAACCATCTCCTCCTTCTCTCTTTCATCCTGCTTCTCAGCTCCCTCGTGACTTTCATCCTCTCTCTGTCTACGCTGTCTCAACGTGTCTTAAGGCTTAAAATGCAGCAACTTCATATTTATTTTACAGTTAATGTTACAAAGGAAAAACAAATCAGTATTAACTGTGAATAGACTCAGTTAGGAACTTAAAAGTAAATGACAGAAACGCGCGACTACGATCAAAACACTCATGTCAGGAAAATAAACTGTATTGCTTACCTTCTTCTCTTAGCGTCTTTTCCGTTAGTCGTGCTCAAGAATTTCTTCGGGTCTCATTTAAACTATTTTAAATCTTTTATTCAAAAATCCACCTGGTAAACAGTTCTGTCCACAGAGTGTGCTGCGCTCTAAAGGCTCCGTGTGAAACGCTGCAGCGCATTAGTTCCCGTCTCCGAGGCAGTGCGGGAAAAAAACTCCAATCTCTTCAGCACAGGGGCTATAACAGGGGCCAGGGCTGGTTCTACAGGGAGCCAGGCCCCCGTGGGCCTTTGTTTAAAACCGCCAATGTATATAGGTTTTCAAAAGAGATTTAAAACCAGACAGAGAAGAGGCCGACCTAACGCTCAAAGGCACAGCATTCCAGAGCCTAGGGTCCGCTACAGAGAAAGCCCCGTCACCTCTGAGCTTATGTCTTGTTTTTGGGACTTCCAAGAGCATCCTATCAGCCGACCTCAGAGAACGTACAGGGTAGTAAAAACCAGAAGCTCAGAGAGGTCATCTGGAGTAAGGCCATGCAAAGATTTAGAAGCCCATAAAAGCACCTTGTACTGGATTCTAAAACGAAAAGGCAGCCAGTGCAGTGAGGCCAAGGCAGGAGTAACATGCGCCATCTTTTTCGTCCCAGTGAGCAACCGTGCAGCAGCATTCTGCACCAACTCAAGACGCGAAAGGTGGGATTGTGAAACACCAAGGTACAAAGAATTACAGCAATCAAACCTTGATGTAATAAAAGCATGAATTACTGTTTCAAAATCCTTTTTTTGTGATCCTTCTTAATTGATAAAAACTAGATTTAGTCACCGCACAAGAAAAGTCCAAGACAAGATCCCTTGGGGCCTTGGGGGTAAGCATACAGAACAACACCTGGAGGGGAGGATCTTTTCACTCAGCCTCACCTCAGATGCCAGTGCCCGCTTCAATGTTTAAGCTGCACCTATAGATACTGAGGGTTGAGGGGGAATTTCTGAGGGAAATTCTCTGCAGACTACGTCTGTGCCGACAACCTCCCCCAAATGTAGAATCTAACAGCACACAAAAAACCACATTGGGACAGGCAGAGGGAGACTAGGGGTATTCTCACACCTCTGTTCTCCGTTCGCTGCCCAGGGCTAGAGGCGAGGAGTGGGAGCTGGCCGTCTGGTTGGGTCTGGGGTGGTGGGCTGATTTTCTCTGCTTTGCGCACTCTTGCCTGCTCATCATCACCCCAGTAAGAACGGGACCATCTAGGGTTGAATGTGTTTGTGCAAGCATGAGGGTGAGAGTGAGTGACTGTATGTATGACTGTTTCTATCAGGAAGGGTCTTAGACTCCTCCCCTCTCCTGGGACATCTTGTGGTACTTCAACATCTTGGCCTATCCTCCCCCTGCCACATTTTGTACATGTTCTATAATGGAAACCTGATGTTAAGATAAACCCTTGTTCTACAACATGCTACGAGTTCCTCCTTTACAGTGATGATACCACAGTTACTAACTGATTTACTGTCCTATCTGAAAGGTATTAAATGGACCCCAGACACCAATGGTGTGGTTGCCTTTGACTGCAGGAACAGGAACTGGTGAGTTTAGTCACCTAGCTAGTTTTCAGTGCCCTAAAAGACTTTTGTTGTCATAATCCTCATTAGCATCTTGTTTATTTATTTTTATTCTGTCTGAAATAATTAGACAACAACTATAATGAAATTTATGCTCAGATCATCAGGCTTTATTCATGTGCAGTCAACATTTGGGTGACAGAAGACTTTATATTTTTTATTTCAAATGTTCATTTTTACACGTTAAACATTGCTGTTGACTTTTCATTTATTTGCTAATTGCGTGAATTTGGGTTATTTAAAAAAAGGATTTTGTGCATATGCATGTTATCTACATGTGGTCTGCATATATATAAGGGGTGTAGAGTCACATATATTTGTTTTCAGATTTAATGTAAAGCCTAGTTTATACGTCTCTGTCAACTATTGTCCGGAGTCATGCGAACACATTGTCCTTTCAAACTTCTCCGTTACCTGGGAAGTGTTAAAAACTAATTCCCCACCAGAACAACAGCATAGCAGTAAACAACAAACAGACAACAGACCACATATGTACAACACACAGGCTGAACAAACAGTGAGGTCATCATAACAAAAAAGGAAATAATAATAATATTAATTATATGAGGGGCGGCGCAGTGACACAGTGGTTAGAGCTGTTGCCTTGCAGCAAGAAGGTCCTGGGTTCGCTTCCTGGCCTGGGATCTTTCTGCATGGAGTTTGCATGTTCTCCCTGTGCATGCGTGGGTTCTCTCCGGGTACTCTGGCTTCCTCCCACAGTCCAAAAACATGACCGTTAGGTTAATTGGTCTGTCTAAATTGTCCTTAGGTGTGTGTGTGTGTGTGTGTGTGTGTGTGTGTGTGTGTGTGTGTGTGTGTGTGTGTGTGTGTGTGTGTGTGTGTGTGTGCGCGCGCGCGTGATTGTTTGTCCTGTGTGTCTCTGTGTTGCCCTGTGATGGACTGGCTCACTGTCCAGGGTGTACCCCGCCTGATTGCCCATTGATCGCTGGAGACGTGGACAAAGTGGGTTCAGACAATGGATGGATTAATTATATGAGGAATAAATGGAATATGAGCTGTTAAATGGTATTGTCCAAATTTTTAGTAGCATGTACCTGTGTGTGTGTGTGTGTGCACACATGCATGTGTGTGTATAACTTATAGAATATGCTCATGAGTGTGTTTTTGTGGCTACCATTATGTGCAGCTCTAAGCTGTGTTTAAATACACGGAATTTAATTTAATAGATGTTATCTGTTATACGTTTTCTTGTTGTTTCTTTTTTTACAGTTTTGTAAAAAAAATGAGTTTTTACCTGAAAGAATATACAATAGAGATGTTATCTGTGACTGTAAATTCTCACTTGTCGATAAATGTCTGAGTTTCAGTTCCAGCTCTTCACGCCACCTTATTTTAACATTTTTAACTGTATCATTCATGGGAGAACTAAAGCCCTGAGCACGCCACTGTTTTGTGCAGGTACATCCAGGCAGCCACATCTCCCAAAGATATTATCATCATGGTGGACATTAGTGGCAGCATGAAGGGGTTGAAGATAACAATCGCCAAGCACACCATCAACACTATCCTGGATACACTGGGAGAAAACGATTTTGTTAACGTCATTGCTGTAAGTTGAATCAGATAGTATATGTGTTGCTTGTTAGTTAAACGAGTTATAACGAATTAAGTTCTTTGTACAAATTCCGTCTAACAAAAACAATCTTATCTACTGAATTATTGACAGTTTCATTACCTTTCAAAATGAGCCGCTCCAGGCATGCTGCTCAATTAATCCAATCTCAGTTCCGATCTGAGTTTTCAGCGATTATAAAAACAAAACAAGCCGATTATTTGCTCTTCCCTTTTGCGCTGCCCTGAGTGTCAAATCAAGCACTCCTCCCACAGTGTTGCCAACTTAGCGCTTTTGTTGCTATTTCCATCAGCTTTTCAGGCCCCCTTCCCGACTTTTAAAATCCTAAAAGTACCTAGTGAACACCCCAGAAGGATCTCTGGTCACCCTTAGCAACTTTCTGGATAACTGTCGTCGACATTTCCTGCAGGTTAGAAAAACACTCCGCCTGCGCTCCGGACCGTCCTTCAGGACATTAGGAAAGGGAATGATGTAGTGATGTGTCGGTCGCTAAAGAAACAATAATAATAATAATAATACATTTTATTTCAAAGCACCTTTCAGGACACCCAAGGTCACTTTACAGAAAACACGTAATAAAATACAATAAAACAATAATAAAACCCAAACAAGAAAAAACTAAGAGAGAAACAGTTCAATAAAATCAGAGGTTGTAAGCAGATTTAAACATGTGTGTTTTGAGTTTTGTTTTGAAAAGGGTAAAACTGTCGATGTTCCTGATGCCTGGGGGAAGTGAGTTCCAGAGACGGGGAGCAGAGCGGCTGAAAGCTCTGCTCCCTATGGTAGCGAGATGGGCAGAAGGAACCGCAAGATGGATGGAAGAAGAAGATCTGAGTGAACGGGATGGGGTGTGAATACTTATAAGGTCTGAGATATATGGAGGAGAGAGGTTGTGGATAGCTTTGAAGGTATGGAGGAGAATTTTGAAGATGGACCTGAATTTAACTGGGAGCCAGTGAAGCTGCTGGAGAACTGGGGTGATGTGTTGAAAGGAAGGGGTTCTGGTGATAATACGGGCTGCTGAATTCTGGACCATTTGCAGTTTATGAAGGAGTTTGTTGGGGAGACCATAAAGAAGTGAATTGCAATAGTCGATACGGGAGGTGACGAGGCTGTGGACGAGAATGGCGGCAGTGTGAGGGGTCAGTGAGGGGCGGAGATGGTTAATGGAACGTAGATGGAAGTATGCTGACCGAATTAAGTTATTAATGTGAGCTTGAAAAGAAAGTGAGCTGTCAAGAATGACACCCAGACTCTTGACGTGAGGGGAGGGGGAGACTATGGCGCTGTCAATAGTTAAAGAAAAGCTGTCAGATGTTGAGAGGGTGGATTTAGTGCCAACTAGAAGAAGTTCAGTTTTATTGCCGTTGAGTTTGAGGAAATTAGAGGTGAACCATGATTTGATTTCAGAGAGGCAGAGTGTAAGGGAGGATGGTGGGAGAGTTGAGTTGGGCTTACTGGAAATGTAGAGCTGGGTGTCATCCGCAAAGCAGTGAAACTGGATATTGAATTTGCGGAAGATTTTGCCGATAGGGAGGAGGTATACTATGAAGAGGAGGGGCCCCAGGACAGAGCCCTGGGGCACACCTGACTTGACTGGGGAGGGTTCTGAGGTAAAGGATTTTAACTGGATGAACTGAGTGCGGCCAGTAAGGTAAGATTGAAACCAGCGGAGGGGGGGGGGGGGGGGGGGTGAGTGATGCCTAAGGAAGAGAGTCTATTGAGGAGGATGGGATGAGAAATGGTGTCAAAGGCCGCACTCAGATCGAGGAGAATGAGAATAGAGATGAAACCAGAATCAGCAGCAATGAGTAGGTCGTTAGTGATCTTGATGAGAGCTGTTTCTGTGCTGTGGTGGGGACGGAAACCAGACTGAAACTGTTCATAAAGGTTATTGCGGGTGAGATGTGAATGGAGCTGAGATGCAACAGTTTTCTCTAGGACTTTGGAAATGAAGGGAAGATGGGAAATGGGATGCAGGTTATTGAAATCATTGGGATCTAAACCAGGTTTTTATAGAATAGGGCTGACTGAAGCGGATTTGAATAGGGAGGGGACCGTACCAGAGGATAGTGAGGAATGAATAATGGCTGTTATAAAAGGGAGCAGAGAGGAAAGGCAGGATTTAACTAAAACTGTTGGAATAGGGTCCAGTTGACAGGTGGAAGGTTTGGATTTGGTGATGTAATCTAATATTTCTGAGGGATGGGGAAGTTCAAAGGAGGAGAACTGAATGGTGGGTTCAAATAAATCAGGAGAGGGAGGGGAGGAATGAGGTAAAGAGAGATGGATTCTATTGACCTTATCATTAAAAAACTGAAGGAGAGAGTTACAGGTTTCTGAAGAGTAAAGATGGATGGGTAAGGAGTCGGGAGGCTGAAAAATGCTGTTCATGATGGAAAATAATGTCTTAGTGTTGCTGGAGTTGGACGAGATGAGACTGGAGTAATACTGAGATTTGGCATGGGAGATGAAGTCCTTGTAGAGGGAAATCTGAGCAGAATATAAAGCCCCATTCCCACCTGTACCGGGTCGGCCTGGGCCGGGTAGCCCCAGTCGGCCCCAGCCTGGCCCGGTTGATTCCACACATCCTTGCCTTAAGCCCATGTGGGCTGATTCTACCCACCAATCAGAGGCTTGCTCTAATGGAAGGTGTGAATTTGCTGTCAGCAGTGGGTGTGTTGGCCCTGGTCTATGGGCCTTAATTTATCTCTTCTTATAGCCGATTATGTTTATATTCACTGTGTGATAAAATGTTTTCTTGTCAATAGTTGGAAAACATGTCTCAATCTAAACATGTTCCCTGTCTTCATATCCACAGTACACAGACTATGTCCGTTATGTTGAGTCCTGCTTCAAAGGAACCCTGGTCCAGGCTGACTTGGACAATAGAGAAGTAAGCAAGCAAGCCTCTGTCTGTCTCTGTGTGTGTGTGTGTGTGTGTGTGTGTGTGTGTGTGTGTGTGTGTCTTTTTTTAAATAGTTTTAAATCCTGTTAAATGCATTCTGTTCATCTTCTCCATGGACCTGCTGAATTGACATCAGGGTCTCTATTTGAGCCTAAATGTGTTTGTATTTGATGTTCTGTTTCTGTTTGTGCAGCACTGTTATGTCTTATAGTCACGAGGTTGTCTCTGTGCTTTCAGAATGATTAAGGCTTTAAAATCTAAATTTAGACGTTTTTCTCTTCTGTAACAGGAATGAAAGTTTCTTTAGATGAAATATTTATGCAAATCACTTGATGGAAAAAAAAACGACTGGATTTTTCTTGGAAACACAATTATTTCTTCTGAAAAACTCTTATTTTTTACTAACCATGGATTTGATAAACTGGTCATTCAATGCGATCGACAAGATTTTTTTCAACAATGAGAACGGAGCAGGGGGCTCCCACATGTTCACAGGGGACACACCTGGTGGGGTATATTTTGGATTCCTGGAGGGAATGGAAGATCAAATGCCTCTCCCAGCTGTCCATTGAGGACATCGAAGACGTGTGGATATTTGGTCTGATGATCACTGGATTTCTCCTGATTGGAGTGGGAGGATATCTGGTTTTCTGGAAATTTGGGAAGACGGGAGCGATTGGAGGGCGACCCGCACCCACGGAAAGCACCGTTCGTGTTGAAACTTCTCAGACTGGGATGTTACTCGAGGTGAATCGTAAGCTGGACAATGTTCTAGCTGCGATACCAGTATTAGTGCGCAAAATGGATGTCATCTCGAAGAGAGCCACCGCACGGTATGGACAAGTTTAAAACCCAAAATTGGCTTCACTGAAGGACTGGAATGATCAGTTTAAAGACTGAAGGCAGAGAGGAAAATTATCTCAGCCCGACCCAAACAAATTCTTGTTATCTGAATCTGACGCCCTGGTAGCCTTGAGCTGCAAGTAACTAAAACCCCCACGAAGGAATGCAGACAGATGCTGTGAAAACCCGACCCCCCCCCCCCCCCCCCCACCCCCCACCCCCGCCTTCCTGTTGGAGTCTCATGTTGTGAACAGTTGATGTTTGTGCTTATATGTTTGAGGTGTTTTTTTTTGCATAGCAAAGCTGCGCCCTGTCGGGAGTAACTCTGGAATGCTTTTTTGCCCTCCCCAATTCATCCTCATGTAATCCCCTTTTCATCTAAATGAAATGAGCACCGTTCATGGCTGCTCTCGTGGCCTGCCTGTATCTGTCTTGTCTACATGTGTGTGTAACCTTGGTCAGGCTGTGCTGCAAAGTCAAATTCCTATGCTTCGGGACACTGGAACACTGGAAATAAAGCTTTTCTGATTCTGATTCTGATGGACAGAAGTCCGTAAAGGACCAGTAAAGCTGAAATGCAATGATAACATGTGACTTAAGGTTGGTTTATGCTTGACGCGTCCGCGAGGTCCGCACGGCTCCGCGCGGAGAAGTTGCGTCATTTTGCGTCATTTTAACAACCACGCCCCTCCACCGCGTCTCCGCACGGCCCAAGATTTCCGCAACGCGCACCTCGGAAAATTTCTAACCACGCGGACGGTCGGACGCGGAAAAACATGGCGGACCGGCACGGCAGAGGTTCGTAAATACAGACATTTGTATGATTCAGCTCTCAAAGATCACCGTGATCAACATGTTGTTAATAGTTCTTGGAGAGAAATAGCTCGCACTGTCGGAAAAGACGAGAACGCTGTTAAAAATGCTGAAATGCCATGTTGTAAACAGTAATTTCTACTTCTACTATGGTGTAGTGTTGGATGCTTGCCGTAGAGCTCCATGCTGCCCCCTACAGTTTGGGAGAATATTGGCTCACCGCAGAGACGAGCCGCACAAACCATAAACGCTGCGAGTTGTGAAGCGCGTTCCAGCCGCGAGCCGCGTCACCGCGCGGAAAGTGAATGCGTCAAGCATAAACCAAGCTTAAGGCTATGTTCATACTGCAGGCCTTGATGCGCGATTCCAATTTTTGGAGTAAATCTGATTTATTTTGTGTGGCCGTTCACACTGTGACTGAAATGCGACATCAAACTCTCTCCAGTGTGAACGCTCCGCGGCCCCAAAGCGACCCGCATGCGCCAAAGACAGGAAGTCACACTCAGTGGAGATGGAACCAGGAGTGGTGGAGTTGTGATGTAAAAGTTTTCACTGACGGTTTGTCCACCAGATCAGGATCACACTGGTTAATTCATCCGTTTTGGGCTGGAAACAGTTTTCAAAACTGTAAACCATTTTACTACTTGTTCCTGTCGTCTTCCTGAATTATTATTCACCGAAAATGTTTCGGTAGTAATTCCAGCAGCACCTCCCTCTCCCGTTCACATTATCTCATGTATTTTTATTCCAACACCTAAAACAGGAAGTCCAGACAGACTCCTGAACCCTTCTGTCAGCGCTTCTCCTCAGGAACATCCACACACGACGTAGGAGACTGATTTAATGCAACATGACCATTCAGACAGCAGTCGCGTTCAAACACATCAGATCGCATTTGAAAAAACTGGATCTGTGCGTTCAGACTGTCATAAATAAATCAGATATGGGTCGCGTGTGGGGAAAAAGCAGGTTTGATGTGCTTTTGCCTGCAGTGTGTGGAAGAACATTGTCTTACTGCTAAGGTCACAAACTTTGTTCTTTTCTTTTCAGCACTTTAAACTTTTGGTTGAGGATCTGCATGTTAAAGGAGAAGCAAAAATCAAGAACGCCTTAAAGGAGTCCTTCAAGATCCTCAATGAGGTTTGTGTCCTTAGACTACATATCTTCTCTATTATGAGTCATCATGGCATTTAAACCTAAAAGTTGCACCAGCTTCAGATTTTATAAGAAGAGTCAGCACAGACACTCAAATGGACGGCCATATTTAAAAATGATGGTCTCGATAACGAGGGATGGCTTATACATTTTTAACGCTCACGTGGGCAATGACAGTGAGACCTGGAGAGGTGTGGTTGGGAGGAAAGGCCCCCCGATCTGAATTTGAGTGGTGTTTTGTTATTGGACTTCTGTGCCAGTCATGGATTGTCCATAATGAACACCATGTTCAGACATAAAGGTGTCCATATGTGCTCTTGGCACCAGGATACCTTAGGCCGCAGCTCAATGATTGACTTTGTTGTTGCTTCATCTGACCTGCAGCCACATGTCTTGGACACTCGGGTGAAGAGAGGGGCGGAGCTGTCAACTGACCACTACCTGGTGGTGAGTTGGCTCAGATGGTGGGGGAAGATGCCGATCAGACCAGGCAGGCCCAAACGTATCGCGAGGGTCTGATGGGAATGTCTGGCAGAGTCTCCTGTCATAGAAGGAGCTTCAATTCCCACCTCCGACAGAACTTCCAAAATGTTCCGGGGGAGGCGGTGGACATTGAGTCTGAATGGACCCTGTTCTGTGCATCCATTGTTGGGGAGGCTGACCGGAGCTGTGGTCGCAGGATCGTCGGTGCCTGTCGTGGTGGCAACCCCTGAACCTGCTGGTGGACACCGGGGGTTAGGGATGCTGTCAAGCCGAAGAAAGGGTCCTATCAGGTCTTTTTGGCCTGTGGGACTCCAGAGGCAGCTGACAGGTACCGGCAATCCAAGCGGAACGTGGCTTGGGTGGTCGCCAAGGCAAAAACCTGGGCATGGGAGGAGTTCGGTGAGACCATAGAGCAAGACTTCCGTACGGCTTCGAGGAGATTCTGGTCCACCATGCAGCACCTCAGGAGGGAAAGCAGTGCGCTACCAACAATATCTATAGTGGGGACGGTGTGCTGCTGACCTCTACTCAGGACGTTGTGGATCGGTGGGCAGAATACTTCAAAGACCTCCTCAATCCCACCAACATGTCTTCCAGTGAGGAAGCAGAGTCTGGGGACTTTGGGTGGGCCTCTCAAATCTCTGGTGCTGAGGTCACTGAGGTGGTTAAAAAGCTCCTCTGTGGCAAGGCTCCAGGGGTGGATGAGATCCGCTCAGAGTTCCTTAAGGCTCTGGATGTTGTGGGGCTGTGTTGGCTGACACGGCTCTGCAATATCGCATGGACATCGGGGCAGTCCCACTGGACTGGCAGACCGGGGTGGTGGTTCCCTTATTTAAAAAGGGGGACCGCAGGGTGTGTTCCTACTACAGGGGGTTCATACTCCTGAGCCTTCCTGGTAAGGTCTATTCAGGGGTTCTGGAGAGGAGGGTCCGTCGGATTGTTGAACTTCAGATTCAGGAGGAGCAATGTGGCTTTCATCCTGGCCGTGGAACACTGGACCAGCTGCATACCCTTAGCTTAGAGGGATCCTGGAGGGTGCGTGGGAATTTGCCCATCCAGTCATGTGTTTTGTGGATTTGGAGAAGGCGTTTGACTACCTCCCTCGGGGGGCCCTGTGGGGGGTACTCCAGGAGTATGGGGTACCAGGCCCTCTGATGCGGGCTGTTAGGTCCCTGTATGACTGTGTCAGAGCTTGGTCCGCATTGCCGGCAGTAAGTCGGACTTGTTCCCAATAAGAGTTGGACTCCACCAAGGCTGCAATTTTTCACCGATTCTGTTCATAACCTTTATGGACAGAATTTCTAGGTGCAGCCAATCTAGCTCTCTAGGAGAATGAGTGCAAATTGTTACCTCAATTTTATTGGGTAGTTTCTGTAGGTAGATCTTCACAGTGTGGTAAATTTATAGTCTTTTATTTTTATTTTTTACCTCTGTGTGAATATGCGTGTTTATGTTTACTTCTGCTTTAGCTGGTACTAAAGAATTCCTCAACTGTAAAGGTGTTTTTTATGCTAGTATGAACTGGTCTATATGTATGTGTGCAGGCAAGGGTGAAAGGTCAGGGCAGCATGTGCAACCAGGCCATCATGCTAATCACAGATGGAGCCATGGAGGACTTTGAATCTGTCTTTGAGGAATTCAACTGGCCTGATCGCAGGGTAAGCACACCCAACGCACTGCTGTTTTATTACAGCCCACCTCATCAATGAGAACACCAACAACAATATCCACTCACAAATGTGTGAAGTAACTACGGTTGTGGTTTTCAAACATTTTGCTTCAGAATAGAGTGTGAGGGGTTGTTTTTAGATGACCAGCTGTACCCGTTTGTGCAGGTGCGTGTTTTCACCTACTTGATTGGCAGGGAGATGACCTTTGCTCAAAACACGAAGTGGATTGCCTGCAACAACAAAGGTGAGTGCACATGTGTGTGCGCATGTACGTGTGTGTGCGTGCATGTGTTTTCTGTCATGCAGATGTCCAAGAAAAAATTGTTATGGCTTTTTGCAGGCTACTACACACACATCTCTACACTGGCCGATGTACAGGAGAACGTCATGGAATACCTGCATGTGCTTAGCCGACCAATGGTCATCAACCATGACCATGACATCATCTGGACTGAAGCCTACATGGATACTGTGGTGAGATAAACTGGGCATTCAGGATAAACAGCAGACCAGTTACAATCCACTCTAAATGTATTTATTTCAGTTTGGAAGGGGCTGCTATCTTCATCCATTCATGTCTTTCATGTGTCTATTTTTTTCCCTCTTCATCTGGGATTCTTTACCCATGATGCTTTGGGTCGATTCTTCCATCATGTGAGCAGCTTCCCAATACAATCCAGGTAACTATCAAGAAAATGATTTAAATAAGTTTTACTCACCAGTCTTATACATGTCTGCTGTGCTGTAGTGGAGGTTCTATTGGCAGCAAAAGCTCATTTTAACTCCTTTCTACTGACTTATTGTCGTAATTACTTAATAAAATTAAACCAATTGTTATATAGTTCTATAAAATTGGACAATAAGTAGTTTAGTTAATGATAACTATTGAAAGCAGGCCAAGAACTTTTAGGAACTTAATTTCAATCAAACAAATTTCGATGCTGAAACAACCTTATTGTTAAAACAAACAAAAAGAGAAGACCATTCCTCCTCCGGTAGGATATTAGTGAAGGATTTATTTAGCGTCTTTCATTATCTTTTCCTTTGTACAGGAGTGTCATCTAAAAGGTAAACCTACATTACGGTCTGATTTTGAGATGCGTTACGGATCTTTACAGATTAAAACATTGGTGGTATGCATCCCCCTCATTATTGAACAATAGCTTTGTCTGAAATGTTGTCTTCTGCTGACAAACCCAAGACTTTCCTCTTCTTGTTAATTTGTCAACCAGCAAAGACATAAACTGTATTAATGGCCAGAGAACTCAACACACCAGATGTTTAAGGTCCTTCCCTCTCCAACAGGTCAAGAAGAAAAATGTTCTCCAGGATCCAGTTCAGTATGCCCTGTTAGACGCCCGCTCCATCTCAAGCAAATCCTTTATTTTAAATGAGCTGTTCATCAAAGAAAAGTTGGACTTTTTAAGTCTTACTGAGACGTGGCAGCAAGATAGATATTTTGTACACTTCAATGAAATATGCCCACCAAATAGCTCTGCGTTTACCACACCACGCCTGTCACGTCGTGGTGGAGGTCTTGCTGTGGTCTTTAAGGACAAACATGTCTGTAATCTGATGAAAAATGGCCCTTTTACTACTTTTGAATGCCAGGTCATTAAAGCAGGGTTACAAAATGTAATTCACTGTATTTTAATCTACCCACCTCCTGGTCCAGCTGGCCCTTTTCTCTCTGAATTTGCAGAATTTCTATCATCGATGATCAAACTAGAAAAAGTTTAATCCTTGGTGATTTTAACTCACACATTAATGATCCTACACAGCAGTAGAGTTCATGTCTATTACAGAGTCTTTTAGCTTAGAGCAGCACGTTTCAGGCCCCACACACTAAATGGGCCACACTCTAGATCTTGTTTTCTCTTTGGGACTAAACATCAATCATTTACATGTTGAAGAGGTTCATGTGAGTGACCACAGCAGCATTTTCTTTAATGTCCAATCAAATGTTGAATCTGTCCCTCACAACCTAAAATCAAAAAGACCGATCATTATTCAGTCAGCAGAGGATGGATGTTCTAGATTATTTGACAGCAGCTCAGTTCAGGATGATGATCCAAGCGTGTTCATCCAGTCATTGGATAAACAATGCTGCAGTATCTTAGATAAAGTAGCTCCTGTTAAGCATATTGTTTTATCTAACAGGAGGGGAAACCCTTGGATTAATCAGAACATTTACAGTCTCAGAAGGACGTGCCGCAGAGCCGAGAGACGCTGGAAGGCAACTAGACTAGAAAGTCACAGTCTGCACTTTAAAGACCTGATAACATCTCTGAATGAGATGGTGAAAACTTCCAGGTCCACTTACTTTGCTCAGCTGATAGCTGTAAACAGAAATAACTCTAAAGTCCTGTCTGACACCATAAACCAGATTGTTTCACCTCACGCCCCACTCATGCCAGTTTGCTCAAGGTCTGACTGTAACAACATTCTAGCATTCTTTGAGAATAAAATCAGAAATATCAGGGCATCTTCCTTTATCCTTACACAGCATTGACAGTCTGGACACTTAAAAAAAACTGCTGAAGACCCTTTTATTTAACACTACTTTTACCTAAACCTTTTATTTTCTTATTTTTAACTCACATTTGTAATCATCTTTCATTTGTTTTATGGTATTTTATAATTTTATGACTTTATTTTTCTGATTAAATTGATTTCTTTTTCAAGATCATTATGATTTTATTTTATTTTATCATTTTACATTATGATTTGATCTATGTGAAGCACTTTGTCTGTAATGAGTGTGTTTTACTTTTGTACGTTACAAGTTCTATATAAATACAATTTACATACTAACATGAAAACAGTCTCCTACATTTATCTCTTGCATTAGCTTCTGATGGATGGTGAAACTCTAGGATTAGAAAGGCCTGACAGATTTATCACACTGTCACTTAAAGAGCGAGTAAAGCCTAAATTAACTTGTTTTGCTGATAACCTGTATGGTGCTGTACACATGTGTAATCATTAGTGTACTTACTTTAAATGTAATAATTCAGCCCCAAACCATAATCACATCTCCATCTTCAGGGTTAAAAACTGCTCCACATTTATGTAGAACCAGCTGGAGCTGATGGCTAAGCTGAAAAGTGTGACGTTGTCAGCAAAGTACTACGTGTCTGCACCACACTGGTCTCCAGGTGAGGCAGCCACACCTCCACCTGGCTCAGCCACTCACCTGCCGATATGACACGCTGGCGCTCTGAGCCGCTCGCCTTTTTGACAAAAACACCCTCCTCCCCTTTTCATTTAATGATCGCGTTTAACAGAAATCCTCCAGAATGCTTCGAAATCCTCCAGAATGCTTCAGGATCTGTGTCTGCTCTTCTCCTGAGCTGTAAGTCATGTGTGAGTGCGTGCACACGCGAGTGCGCACGAGCTCATTAACAACTCGTTTTTAGACTGAGAAACTCTGACTGCACACGTGGGGGGGTTGAGTGGGGTGCGGTCTACCACTGCCTCAGTGCCGCTCTCTCGGTCCGCCAGGCGACGTCTCTTTTAGAAGAGTTTTCCTAACAGGAAGTGTGGATGAAATACATCTCCACCCATGCCTTGACCCTCTTTTTAACATTCATGGACTCACCCATCTTGACTCATGACGGGGAAGGCTGTTGTTGGTTTAGGGTCCAGGAAACAGCAGAAAATGTTTCGGCAAGTAGAAGCTAACATTAGCAGCTCCACCACACAGCAGAACTCCTCCAGACTTGTGTTAGATGTGGAGATACAACAATGTTTCAGAGCAAAGTCAGTGGTAGAGTTGTGTTGCTGTTAGCCAATCAGAGGAGAGATGTCCAAATTTTAGGAAATAAGGCTCCAAAACCTGTCGTCTGAAGTTCAGCTTTGATGAGGCTCAATTTTTGGTCCTCATATTGGTGTACTGGCATATTTTTTCCCCCTGAGGATGACTTACAAGGCATTCATTCCTACTAGAGGCCACTGCAAATGTACTGGTTAAATAAGTGTTCTACTCCTTTAAGTCACATATGTTGGAGAATGAATTGGGTAAGATCTGCAGGATTGTAGCTCTCAAGACTGGAGCTTGTGATCTCTGAGTGGCCATTTCAATCATTAATGACATTACCACATCTAGGAGATCAATATAAACACCTAACATTGTAAAGTTTTTATAAGTCATACAACAGTCAACACCAGTTCAGCATGCAAAGTCCAATTTTTGTGACCCGTCTAAATTTAGAAAATGTTTCTACTGGAAAATCAAGCCGAGCAGTAGAGCTCCAAATGGTGTGTGTCTCTCTCACCTGTCTCAGCAAAATATGATTATTGTCCACGAGGAATTGATCATCTCTAATATAAAACTGCCAATATATTCACCAACAGTTTAGTAACAGTAGTCAATCAGATTTATTTACTGTAACACCTAACACCACCTGGATGGAGGCCCAAGGTGCTGAACAGCACATAAAAGCAAGGATAAAAACAACATAGTAGATAAAAGAGAGTAAAGCAGTTAAGAAAACAAACAGAAAAGTACAAGTAAAAGTCAATAAAAACCACAAAGTACAAGAGGTAAAACAAAAAAGCCAGGGTCAACGATGTTAGTCAATCTGTCTCAGCAAGAAGGAAAGTGCAAAGCAGCAAGACTGATTAGTACTGTAGCTCTCTAGTTCCAATTTAAATGTTTATCTTCTATTTTTTACTCATGCATGCTCTAATTCTTTGCTGTGACTTATCTTTTAGCTCTTTAGTACCAAGGCTCAGAGTCTACTGCTGATGACATCAGTGGCCATGCCAGTTTTCAGCAAGAAGAAGGAAACGGTCAGTTCCACCTGTTAACAATTATCTCTGTGGACATTTATTGGCTGTGGTTTTGTTTTTACAACAGTATTGTTTGAGTGTCTGTTCATTAATCCAAAAATAAGATAAAATACCGCTCTGAGGAACCCCTGAGAAAAAACGTCCTTAACGGTAAAGAAAAAGTCCCACAGTGGCTTCATCTATTATGTGTCAAAGGTCCCGTAGATGGCTAATAGACCATCAATAGGCAGGGCTGCACATAAGTGGAGCAGGGATGCATGCTTTCAGACAAGAGTCGTGTCAAGGACCTTCACACAGTAAACATTCCAATACAGGTCAGGCCATTAAGCCAATCAGTAAAAAGTTTCCTATATAAGGAACCCAGCAGGCCGCTTCGAGTCACTGACTAGTGTCAGAGTCTTTACAGCAATCCTCATACTAAGCAAGCATGCAGCGACAGTGGAGAGGAAAACTCCCTTTTAACAGGAAGAAACCTCCAGAGGATCCTGGCTCAGTATAAGCAGCCATCCTCCACGACTCACTGGGGATGGAGAAGACAGAGCACACACACACACACACACACACACACACACACACACACACACACACACACACACACACACACACACACACACACACACACACACACACACACACACACACACACACACACACACACACACACACACACACACACACACACACACACACACACACACACACACACACTCTCTCTCTCTCTCTCTCTCTCTCTCTCTCTCTCTCTCTCTCTCTCTCTCTCTCTCTCTCTCTCTCTCTCTCTCTCTCTCTCTCTCTCTCTCTCTCTCTCTCTCTCTCTCTCTCTCTCTCTCTCTCTCTCTCTCTCTCTCTCTCTCTCTCTCTCTCTCTCTCTCTCTCTCTCTCTCTCTCTAAAGCTTCCATTTGTTAAAAACATTGTTCTGTTTGTTTACTATCCAAAATAGCGCCAGTGTTACGGGCTTGCCGTCTGTCAGCTCCTGTAATTTTTGTGTTTTTGCTCATTTTAGCTTGTATTTTGCATGGTGCCCAACCCAGAATTGTGTATGATCGCCAGACCTTATTCAAATTTTCTGCTGGATTTTTACTGTCTACGGCTGGAGAGTACAGGAATAATTCTCCCCCTTACCTGGATGGACTGACGGCGTGTTGGGAAGCTAAGTGGTTACCGCCGTGCTGGAGGAGGAAACGTAGGAAACGGGGTTCTCGTGGGGGGTGGCTTGTCAGGTGGAAAGTCCTGAAGAATTTTACTGGTGGTTTTCGTACGATCCTGTGGGCAGCTACAAAAGTTGTGGTGCCATGGCGAGTACTGGATCCGGTTGGCTCGTGGCTCGTCCCTGTTGCCGGCTGTCCAGGTGAATGCGGTGGTCGTCCCCCTCCTTCCCAGCGGTTTGATCAAAGAGGAATTGACTTGCTGAATCTTCGACCAGTGAATAGAGCTCCAACTATCATTGGAGCTAATGCATCATCTTGTTTGAGGTGGGGCCTGGTCAATGCTAGGTCGGTGGCTAGCAAGATGTTCATTTTAAATGATTTTTTTTGTTACACATGGTCTGGATATTCTTTGTGTTACGGAGTCATGGATTACTGCTGGTGAGTCCTTTGCCCTTAATGAACTAGTTCCGGCTGACTGTGTTTTTATCAATGTTCCGAGGGATAAAAGGCGTGGAGGGGGCATAGTAGTTGTATACAAAGCTAATGTCAAGATTAAAAGACTTATCCCATGGTCCTCTAACACCAGTTTTGAACTGTGTTTGTTTGAACTTGGTCACCAACAACAGCCACTCCTCTGTGCGGTGGTGTATCGACCCCCAAAATATAGTAAGGATTTCTTATCTGAGTTCAGTGAATTTTTGGCTAATTGTGCATCTCGTTATGATCAAATTCCGCTAATGGGAGATTTTAATATTCATGTTTGTTGCCCTGGAAAACCGCTGGTCACGGATTTCATTAATCTCATAAACTCTTTTAACTTTATTCAAAATGTTAATGGGGCCACTCAGGTATGTGGCCACACATTGGACCTAGTTTTGTCATTTGGATGTACTGTGTCTAACCTTTGTGTTCATGATGCAGTCTTTTCTGACCATAAGCCGGTATTATTTGATACTAACATGGGTGAGAGTATGCTGAAATCTGTTACTCCTGTTACACTTTCTCGCTCTGTGAATTCAGCTACTTCAAGACAATTTTTATTTTTATATAGTGAAACTGTGCTTCATTTATCTGATGAGAGAAGTCTGGATTGCCTGCTAAGCTGTTTTAACAATATTAGTAAGGACATTCTGGACACTATTTCACCTCTTCGAATAAAGAAGGGAAATCGTGCTGCTAAGTCATGGTCAACTGAGCTCACGGGGGCTGCTAGACGGGAATGCAGGAGATGTGAGAGAAAATGGAAAAAGGACAAACTGCATGGCTCCCCGATTGCCCTAAGGGAATGCTGGAAAAATTATCTGTTTGTTAAAAAGGCAAAGGATGACTATTATTCAAACTTAGTCGCTTGTAATTGTAACAACTCTAGAATGCTTTATGCCTCAATTAATGCTGTGATAAATGTGGATAATGGTTTCCCTGCACAGCTATCAGACGAGATGTGTACTAGTTTTCTTGGATTTTTTTATTGAAAAGGTGGCATTGTTGCGTTCTGCACTGTCAAGAGCAAATATGAAAACTCCCTCATTTACTTTGGATAGACATTTAGAGTCTTTTCAGCCAGTATCCCTTGATGACTTAGTTAAGTTGGTGGACGTAATTAAACCGAGTGGATCTCCTGAAGACATCATACCACCACGTCTGTTAAAGGAAGTCTTTCATGGAATAGCACCATTAATATTGAAAGTTATTAATAGCAGTTTGGTCTCTGTCTATGTCCCAATTGATTTTAAAAAGACGGTTATTAACCCACTGTTAAAGAGATGGGGGTTAGATGGTATGCAGCCTTGCAACTACCGGCCGATTGCAAAGCTCCCTTTTCTGAGTAAAATTCTGGAAAAATGTGTCTATACTCAGTTAATGGATTTCCTAGAAGAGTCTAACATCAAGGAAACTTTTCAGTCTGGCTTTAAAGCTTTTCATAGTATGGAAACGGCACTGATAAAGGTATTAAATGACATTATGTTGGAAACTGATAGGGGAAATCCTGTGCTACTTGTTTTGTTGGATCTGACAGCTGCGTTCGACACTGTGGACCACGAAGTGTTGTTCCATCGTTTAGAGTATAATGTCGGAATCTCGGGTCTGGCCTTAGACTGGTTCAGATCTTATTTGAAGGATAGGACTGTAAGTGTAAGGATGGGTGGGTTTAGTTCTGGATTCACACACCTGCAGTGGGGGGTCCCACAGGGTTCAATATTAGGACCACTGTTGTTTTTGATTTACATATTGCCACTGGGGGACATCATGAGGACGTATGGAATTCAATTTCAAATGTATGCTGACGATTGCCAACTTTACTTACCCCTGGATTATAGAAGCGACTGTCCCATTATTACCTTAATGCACTGTCTAACTGAAGTTAAGTCATGGTTGACGGACAATTTTTTATGTCTGAATGAAAGCAAAACTGAGGCAGTGCTGTTTGGCTTACATCGTGATTTAGAGCGATCAAAACTAGATTGTAGGGATATGAATGCCTACCTACGTTCTTCGGTAGTCAACTTAGGAGTGACATTGGATAACACTTTCACCTTTGATGCACATGTGGGTGCGGGTGTATCGTCCTCTTTTTACCACTTGAGACATCTGGCCAAAGTGAAGTCATTTTTAACTAGAAAGGGCCTCGAGACTGTTGTGCATGCGTTTATCACCTCTCGTTTAGACTACTGTAACTCTGTCTTAATTGGGGTGAGACAGAGTACAGTAGCTCGTCTGCAGCTTGTGCAAAATGCCATGGCAAGATTCCTAGAAGAGAAAAGGAAATATGATCATATGACACCCATCCTGGCAGATCTGCACTGGTTACCGGTCATTTTTAGAGTGCGTTTTAAAATTCTTTTATTGGTTTTTAAGGCATTGAATGGGGTGGCACCAGAATATTTATCTGACTTGCTACAGCCATATATACCTAGTCATTCGCTCCGCTCAGAGAGTCACCATATGCTTCTATTCCCCGCATCTAGGCTCAAAACAAGAGGAGACAGGGCTTTTTCGGTAGCAGGCCCAAAATTATGGAATAATCTTCCATTATCTGTGCGACTCTCCACGTCAGTAGAGGTTTTTAAGAAGGTGCTGAAGACCCATTATTATAATCTGGCTTTTAAATCTGTGTGTTAACTGATGTCGTTTTGTATTTTGCTGTTTTTATTTTTTTTTATTGGGTTCCTATATATTCTTTGTTTCTATCTTTTTAGTTTAGTCTTGTGCAGCACCTTGGTGACATAACATATGTCTGTAAAGTGCTTTTATAAATAAAGGTGATGATGATGATGATGATGATGATGATGATGATGATGATGATGATGATGATGATACTGTGGGTAGGGAAATTATTCAGGCCCGTGTCAATTTTTCACTCTGTTATATTTCAGCCATTTGCTAAAATAATCAGATTTCTATGGTTACACTGTGATTTCTTAGTAAATATTCTATATGGTGAGAGATAGACTTAATTGTATTTATCCTAGTGAATCTATAATTAAACGGATAAACTAGTAGTAGCACATTCAATGTCAAAGAGAGTAAAATGTTATTATCAGGAGAGGGAGAATATTTAAGTGGTTAGCAGCAGTGTGCTAGATGTTGGCCCCCTCCATCAGGCCACCACAGCTCAGCAGAACATCAATGTAGCTTCTTCTGGGGAGAAAAACGCTTGCAGTATTCCAGTCTGTTCCCCTGTCAGTATGCCTCTCAAATGATTCAGCACAGGCCAAGTGGATAAAACAGCATTCACTCATTACTAGCTTGCTCCTGGTGCTATCTGCTCAATGCTCATGGAAACAGAGGGAGTAGTCCCAAAAGAGGTGTGTTCCAAACATAAAACGCTGCTACTCACATGTAAGGTTATGCACGCCCAACTCTTTACAGGCTTCAGGGTAACATTAATACAACAATCAACAAGAGTTTACCAAAGAGCATCTTACCAAAGTGTTACACAGTGAAGTGTGGTGAGGAAAAAGGACTCATCATGCTTCTTGGTAGAGTAGTCAAAGAAGTCAATTTATTCTCTCTCCGTCCTCAAAATGGCACCTTGTCCATGCCTCTTCCAGTTTCTGAGTCTGTCAGGTTCACAGATTCTCCCTCAGTTTCCCGCCACGTCCACCTATATACACACCCGTAAGATCCCGCCTCCAGTTAAGATTGCCCAATCACCACAGCCTTTCACAGGAGAAAAGCACATTAAAGTGTTTCATAGAACCATCTCAATAATGAAATATACATTTAAACCACATGCAGTTTACACGTCATTTGTTCTAGACATTTCTCTAAGTTCCTCCAATCATGATCAAACATTTTCTATAAAAATACTGCATTTGAGGCGGGCTCCCCCTTTAGCTGCTTCACGATGGCTGCCAGAGAGGACACGCCCTGAGGGTAACAAACATTTTAAGTCCGACAAAACTAACACTATAATCACCATCTTAAACACTAAAGAAAAAAATGTATTGCTTTCTTAACATCAACCTATGTTGTGATTTTTTTTAGCTTTCTCATGGAATTCTGCTTGGAGTGGTCGGTACGGACATCCCACTCATGGAGGTGATGAAGCTGGCACCCAGATACATGGTAAGTTCATATCTCCTCTACGGCTCCAGTTTTATATTCAACATTTAGAATGAGTAAAATATTAAATAAAGCCGGAAAATGGTTTCATTGTCTGTTTCAATTTTAGTTGGGTCCACATGGATATGCCTTTCTCATCAACAATAACGGCTATATTTTGGCTCATCCTGACCTCCGACCTTTGGTGAGCTCTGTTTCTTGTAGTGAAAGTATTCAATAGAATCAGTTGTTGTCAAAGTTTGGGTGAGGAACTTACCGTGGGTGAAAAAACACTAAGACACAACCTGTAGTTTTTACCATTAATTTCTGGAAATATCCATCAAAATGTTGTTGAAATTAAATGACGCCAAGTTGTTGAAAAACAGTGTCCTCATAAGCAAGGCGCCTGGCCTTGCAAGACATCGCATAGCAAGGCCAGGCGCCTTGACATTGAGAAACACCCTAAGTCTTTGTGTGATGCCATTTAGATGCCATGTTTCCTTCTGCAGGAGCCCATGAGGACAAAATGCATTTACTGATTTGTAACAAATGGTTACAAACCTTCATCGTTCTTAAATGTTGTTGTTTTACACATGTACCTCTTCACTTGTTGCCACTGATGAAAAGGAGTCTGATGTGCTCGTTATTTTGCTAAAGTTTGCACTCCCTAGGGCTTTTTGACCCCAATGGGCATCCTTTGGTAAGGTCTTACTCCAACACAAAAATACTGCTTGCTTTAGGTATTGACTGCCCCCTATCGCCAGGAAAAATACACACTGTCACTTTAAGGTGACTTTTAGATAGCAAAATCAAATCTAACAGAAATAACTGCTAATAGCTTATTTTTATGATAAAAATAATTTCCATAATTTGCCATTAGTCATGCAATATAACTACAATAGAGTACAAATTTAAGCTGATTAATGCTTTTGCACTTATTAATTTGGTAATTAAGTAATGTTTTCACAGCTCAACTAGCAAAATTTGGGGCCACAATTCTTTACTATTGTAATTTCATGGGTACAAGGTTTTATAATATGACCAATACTGACCTGTTATTTCTTCCCTTGCATATTTCATCTCAGTATCTGTTTTGTCTTTCAGTATAAAGATGGCAAGAAACTGAAGCCAAAACCAAACTACAACAGCGTGGATCTGTCTGAAGTAGAGTGGGAGGACAAAGATGTGCAGGTGAACCCCTTAGCATTCCAGCGTCCCGCCCATGAACCCCACTGTGTTCATTAAACCTGGAAATTTAAGGGCTTTAAAAGATCTGTAATGAAGATTAAATACTTTTGTGTCATCAGAACACGTGATACTTGAAAAAGAAAGGAGTTTACAAGGAAATGAAGTCCATAAAAGTCAAAGAATGAGTCACAAAAATGTTAGTTCAAAAGCTTTAATTATACCCCATCACTGCCTCACAATAATCTGAAGGATATCCCTACCATGTGAAATGGTAAAGAACCTGTTTCTGATATATTGTGCCTTCTAGCATCCTAGAACCCCCCAAGATGCTTTACAACGCAGTCAGTCAGCACACACACATTACCGCCTTGTGTGTGTTGTGGTCTAAAGCTCGCTGGGACTGCTTAGATCATAAAGCACGGCTTTCAAACACATTTCTTTTGGTATGATGCATGATGCCTGTTGAACAGGATGTATCGCCAGTCAGATCAGAGATGATGGGAGTGTGGTGCTCCTTTAGCTGGGAAACCTTCAGGAGTCCTAATCCTGTACATGCGTGATTTGTTTTTTTTATCGCCACGTATGTGGTGTCTCATGCTTTGAAATTCGTTCAACTGCTTTTTGAACCAGCCTAACTCACTCACTCACTCACTCACTCACTCACACACACAGCATTTGACTTTGAAGTTAAAGTCACCAAGAATAAAACTTTTTCTAGTTTGATCACTGATGACCAGATTACAGACATGTTTGTCCTTAAAGACCACAGCAAGACCTCCACCACGACGTGACGGGTGTGGTGTGGTAAACACAGAGCAATGTGGTGGACATATTTCATTGAAGTGTACAAAAGACCCATCTTGCTGCCACGTCTCAGTAAGACTTAAAAAATCTAACTTTGTTCTGATTAACAGCTCATTTGCAATAAAGGATTTGCTTGAGATGGAGCAGGCGTTTAACAGGGCACACTGAACTGGATCCTGGAGAACATTTGTCTTCTTAACCTGTTGGAGAAGGATGGGTCGTACACATCTGGTGTTCTGGGTTCTCCAGCCATGGATACAGTTTATGTCTTTGCTGGTTGATAAATAAACTGGAGTGAGAAAACTCGGGTTTGTCAGCAGGACAACATTTTGGGACAGTGACCTTTGGAAGACACACAGATGATGGTTGTATTGGGGCGAGGGTGGCACAGGAGTTAAGTGCTTGCCCCGTAATCGGAAGGTTGCAGGTTCGAGCCCTGCTCAGTCTGTTGCTGTCGTTGTGTCCTTGGGCAAGACACTTAACCCACGTTGCCTGCTTGTGGTGGTCGGAGGGACTGGTGCCACCAGTGGTCGGCAGCCTCGCCTCTGTCAGTGCGCCCCAGGGCAGCTGTGGCTACATTGTAGCTCATCCCCACCAGTGTGTGAATATGTGTGTAAATGGGTGAATGACTGATTGTGTTGTAAAGCGCCTTGGGGGGTTCCATGACTCTAGAAGGCGCAATATCAAATACAGGCCATTTACCATTTGTCATTTATTGGGGAGGACTGTAGGGAGCTATGTTATTTGGAGTGGTGGTGCAAGCAATGGCTGAAGAAGATGAAGAGGGTGATGGTGGGATTTCATCCATTTTGATATGTTAGATAGACAGTTTGATATTCGTGCAGACACAGTGTGGTCGTCCGGTGGAAATGACAGAAAGAGCTGGGTGTCGTCTGCATATCAGTGGTAGGAGAAGCCTTGTGATCGAATGATCTCACCCAGTGGGGTGGTGTATATGGCAAAGAGAAGAGGTCCTAGTACAGAGCCCTGGGGGACCCTTGTGGCAAGATGGTACACGGTAGAGGATTGTCCAAGCCAGGATACACTGAATGATCGTCCTGTGAGGTACGATTCAAACCAGGCATGTGCTTTCTCTGTGATGCCCATGCTAGAGAGTGTGGACAAAAGGAAGCCATGGTTGACAGTCAAATGCAGCTAATAAGTCAAGCAGGATAAGCACTGAGGATTTGCCTGTCGCTCTAGCTTCTTTTAAGGATTCAGTCACTGCTAACGCAATGGCAGCGCTGTAAACAGCAGCGGTGTCCTGACCAATCACAAGCTTGCGTTCTCCGTCTCATCAGATGGATGTTTAGAAAAGAGAGCTTGACTCCGTCCATCCCGACACAGACGGAGAAGTATAAATGAGGCTTGAGATGAAGACGGATCAGGAGTAGAGCTGGAAGTCGTGGTGCAGCAGGATCCAAAGCAACGGTGTGTTGGAGCAGAGAGTTCTGCATGTGTGTTTCTGTTTCACACTGATGACAATGTTCTTGGTCAGTGAAGGGAGACACGTTCTAAAACTACCCAGCTCATTTCCTTCAATGTTTTCTGTCTGTTATTTCTGCCTGATGCTTTTCGCTGCTGCGGAGCGAGGCGCATCACCTGTTTTGTCCTCCGGTGACGCACCCCCAAAATTCCACTATCTCTACTCCGGCATGAACTCCGCAGCAAAAACGGTCCCGTTGTAGTCGGCCCGCGAGCAGCGGCACTCCGCTGTTTTTGCGGTCGGTAGATCTTTTAGAACAGCAGTTCAAAGGTAACTCATAAGGTGAATATATATGAACCCAGGTAGCAGTTTTTCTTTAGGATTGAGAGGAGATGCAGGAAGATAATAAACAGGCAGGACAGAAAAATAGTCAAATATAAACAAGTTAGTTATTGTACCTGGTGGTTGCAACAAACAGACACCATTGAAGGTAATCAGAAGTGAGGAACAGAAAATGAAATAATTATTTTAATGTTTAGAGCAGCAGGAACTCTGAGAGGCTGCAGGCGCATCAGTGAGTTTGCGGCCGCTGCACAGGGGGAGGGGGGAGAGGGCTGAAGTAGGATGCAGAAAATACCGTTGTTAAAAGAGATGTTTAACTTAGAAAATGTGGGCGCAATTTTAATTGTCAAAAACTCCAGCGAACCAATCCCCCCCCCCCCCCCCCCCCCCCGACGTGTATGACATCATCAATGACTAGTCGAAGTCGACTCAATTTTCATTACTTGACGGTCGACTTTAAAATAAATTAAGTCATGCAACCCCTACTGTGCAGTGTTTAACTCTGAACTCGTCACAGCTGAGGACGGCCATGGTGAGAGGGGAGACCGGCAGCATTACTCTGGACATCAGAGCATCTGTGGATAAAGGGGTGAGAAAGCTGTTCACTTGTATAGCAGAAAGGCTTTGATTACTTTATTATTTATTTCAAAGGCTAATTTCCACCTTTTCGAACATCCCTTTGATCCTAATTTAAATGTGAAATAGCAGCCGATCTGGCTTGAGCGTCACACAACTGTTCTTTTCTAGTTGGAGTTCAGAGAGCGCTCCAGCTTATGTGTCCCTTATGTGTCTGATTCAACAGAAAAGACCCATATACCTGGTCAACAATTACTTTTTCACAGACATTGATGAGACACCTTTCAGGTAAAACTCTGTTTTCATGTGCCACTCCTGTGTCATGAGCTTTGACTTTAGCCTCCCTGTCGCTGCTCTGCCTCACTCACAGCTTCGGCATGGTGCTGACCAAGGGTCATGGAAGCCTCATGTTTATGGGAAATGTATCTGTAGAAGAAGGTATCCTCTTATATTGTTCATCGCCATTTTAAACCGCAGCAGAAGTTGGGAATGATCTGTTCTCTTTTTTTGTCTTATGCTCGTAGGGCTGCATGATTTAACCTCTCCGGACCTCACCATTGCCTCAGAATGGTACGGCGAATCAAGAAAGCTACATTTTGGTTAAAACTTTTATTTTGAAATAGGACTAATTACAAAAGGCAGAGATTGAAGCTAGTCAGTTGGTCTACTCAAAGCACTTGCTCAGAGTCCTGTCTTCCATCTGTTTCTAAATATAAGAAATGGTCCTGGTGGCTCTAGGCCACTTAATGCTGATCATCTGGATGTTTTCATCAGGACTTACTGTGTGACAGACATTGACCCTGCTCATCGAAAGTACACCCAGTTTCAGGCTGTCATCCGCTACCTGCTGGGGAAAGAACCCGATCTGGAGTGTAGGTTAAAATAATCCCACTCCTCAACAGTGAGCATGAGTTAGATGATTGTCTCTGCTGCTCTGTTTGATTAGTCAGTGTTTCTGTCTGGATCTGACCCAACCTGCTTGCTGCACAGGTGATGAGATGTTGCTACAGCAGATGCTGTTTGATGCTGTGGTGACAGCGCCGCTGGAGGCTTACTGGAATGCCTTGATGCTCAGTGACAGGTCAGGCTCACGTACTGTCTAGTACATGATGTGTTTTTTAAATCTTTCTGTTTTCATCCTGAGAGGAAAAGTTCAAGAAATCAAGCTTTATAATGTGGAAGATTAATTTCTGTTCTCTTTTGAAACTTTGAGCAGGTTGGAACCAGGAATGGAGACGGCCTTCCTTGGGATGCGTTCTGGCCTGATGAGAACTATGAGATATGCTGGAACAGAGACTAGAGTGGCAAAGTAAGAGGAAAGGTTCCCTGAAGTGCACAGCTAGTGTTGTTAAAAAAAAACAGAGGCGAAAATCAAAGACAAGAGTGTTTTCCTTTTCACTTTTCCTTGACCAATGAGGGGAAACACCGAAGCTCTAAATTTTAGCTCAGCTCCTTCATCACAAACGGGGCTGATCAACACGTGCATTAATGCAGCTGAAGCCTGACCTGACAGTCCATCTCACTGTCACTCTGGAACAAGGCACTGAGATAAACGTCTCATGTAGTAGACTCATTCCCAACACACACACACACACACACACACACACATACACACACACACACACACACACACACACTAAAGCTTCCATTTGTTAAAAACAGTGTTCTGTTTGTTTACAGTGGGTAGGGAAGTTATTCAGGCCCCTGTCAATTTTTCACTCTGTTATATTTCAGTCATTTGCTAAAATAATCAGATTCCTTTTGTTCCTCATTAATGTGCACACCAAACTCGAGGCCTAGATTGACAGAAAAACAGATTTTTAGAATTTTTTGCAGATTTGTTATAGAAAGACTGAAATATCACACAACTGAGAAAAACACATTGTTTTACAGTTATGCTCATGTTGTTTTCATATATTTATATTTTAAAGACGTCCAATTGAAAGGTCGCCAACCTGCATTGACTGAGGTATACCCTTAAATGCTCGAGCATGCTCTGTGAATGGCATCTGTACGTAAGCGTTGGTCTAACACCATTGGTTAGCGCTGACTGCCACTCAGTTCATATTGCATTGAGCACGATGACACTGGGTGGGTTTAGCCCCCCACCCCCCAAAACACACATTTTTTCTACATTATAGCTCAGGATACGATGACACTCACTTTTATTGATTTCTGAGAATTCATACATAATTCCTTAAAGGGAAACCTCCAGATAGCAGCTTTAATTAGCAAATGCTAATCTTTCAGTGCTAAACCACTGAAAAGTACAAAATAACATATAAATACCAAGCAAACTTTAAGTTGAAAAATGACCATACGCAGTTCAAAACCAAAATAAAACACAGCATTTTTAATTAATATCTTTGAATATTTTAAATCATCTATGAAGTAAGATTTAGCTATGTTTATATAACATATTGAGCTTGTTTTACCCTTTTAACGCCCTTTTTAAAACTAACATTAAACTTCCTTTAGTGATGAGTCATTAGTTCCTGATTCTGTATTAATGCCTGACCAAACACTAAGTAATCATTCAGGAATCATCAGCCTCTAGATTTGGTTTGGGGCTGGATGGAAAGCATCATTTAATCATTAGTGGGTGATAAGTATTATTTTAATTACCAACAATTACACAATCATTAAAGAATAATTAGCTTATAAATCCACTATGGAGTGATTGTGAAGATTAGGTAATCATTAGTGTATGATTAGTTATCTAATCGTTTGATGACTAACCAAGCATTAAGTCATCATTTGGGAGTCAGACTATAATTCTAATGTAGGGTGGTTGTAAAGCTCAGGTAATAATTATTAAACATGAGCGTGAAAACTGAGCTGATTTTGGCACCAGTATTGTAAAGCGCTAAAACCTCAGGTTACAGTCAGTGGAGGCCTTATCTGATCTGCTACCTGATGGGTGAAGTAAAGAGTCTGTCTGCTGATGTTCAGCGTGTCAGTACAACCATAACAAGGCCAGAAACAGCATTCAGTTTCTGCTGAAATGTAATAACAAGTTCCAGGACAGCTAGATTTTTACACATAATAGTGAGCGAGTTCATCAGCCCACTGCCACATCCTGGTGAACGTTACTCTCAGATTAATGCAGAAAGTAAAACGTTATCTACTGATTAACTTGTTCCCCGCAGGACCTTCCTGACTCCTTCAGATAAGGACAACCTCTTCACCATTGACCACTTTCCTCTGTGGTACCGCCTGGCAGTGGAGAACACTCCTGGAAGATTTCTCTACTACCCTGTTAATGACAAAGGTCTGTCAGTCATCATAATTTCATCTTAGGCCCTGTCCACACGTAGCCGGGGATCTGCCACAACATAGATATTTTCCTACGTTTTGGCCTGTCATCCACACGAAAACGGAGTTTTTTCACACGAAAACAGATCTTTTTAAAAACTCCGGCCAAAGTGAAGATCTGCGTTTTCTCCGTTTTGGGTGTCTGCGTGTGGACAGACAAAACCGGAGTTTTAAGGTCCGCAATGTCACTTTCCGCGACAAAAAAATGCTGACATCACGTGTGCGACCTGTGTTTACACTAGCCGACAGCATGGAAGCCCTCAGAGCTGCGATCTGTCACTACCTGATCCATCAGTTGTCCAAGCGCTTTTTGCTTGTTTGTTTTTGCAAGAGAAATTACTGCTGCTTGCGGAAGACCACAGACGAAGGACGAGGTTAAGAACGGGGGAAGTACTGCCGCCTACAGGTCTGGCATGTCCTTAACAACGTATTTATCCGGGTACGTGTGGACAGTTTGTTTTTAAACGAGGTGGTGTGGATGCAAGTTTTTGGAGTGGCGGATATTCGTTTTCAAAAAACCCGGCTACGTGTGGACTAGGCCTTAGACATTGAATATTTCCATGAGAAGAACGTTTTACTAAGATCTGAAAGGACATCTTCAGTATATGTTGCATCAACAGGAATAAAGTATGTTGTTGCAACAACAGCAGTGACTGTATCCTCAGGAGGAAAGACAGCCATGGCTGGAGGTAAGTTCCCTGTCCTAGCTCCTACTCACGGTTAGGATAGTGTGACACAGTTTCTCTGGTGGCTTATTAGTTTATGATTACTCCTATTGGTTTCAGCTAAAGAGCAATAACTTCAACACATAAAACAGGTTAGCTACACTCGCTGTCGACTAGTTTTCTGTCACTTTAGTGGGTCATCATAAGCCAAGCCTTCCTAAAAAGGTCTCAAGGTAAGGATCAGGCTCAAAGATGAGGATGCCATTCATGTTATTTTCCACTTTTTCTACTTGTCGTTTGCGCTGAGGTTTTGCTACACACCATAAAGTTAGTCATTTAAATAAATAATAAAAGGTGCTGGTGTAACCCAGCAACTCTGGCACAAACCCTTGTGCAGCAGAGGTCTGTCAGTGTGTGTGGCTAAATACTTGAAAGAAGAGCAGCTCACCAGCCACACAGTGTCACATGTCTCTGATCTCCAGTGGATCTGGGGTCCAGCAGCATCACAACAGATTGTTCCTGTTTTAACGTGTAGTTGTGGATCTACAGCAGCGTCATGGTTACTTTGGTTGTTTGCGAGAACTTCCTTAGATTTTGATTAGGCTGAGAGCTGACACAAACACTGGTCTACAAGGTGAACTGAAACATCAGGGGCCCAAGGTACTAATGGCTCTACTGTGGAGGCCATGAGTGAACTTCACTTGTGATTAGTAAGTAAAGAATGGTTCCACTTGATTAAAAAGGGTTCATACTAACTTGGACCAATAGTGTCTGGATTAATTCAAAGGCAGACCTGAAACAAACAAACATAATGCATAATACTAAGTTTGGTTTGTATCAAATGGTTACTACTGCATGTCTTTCACCACACTTCCAGGTAGGGCTGGACGATATAGAAAAATAGTACACCGATAACAATTTTTTATTGATCGATATTGATAGTTATTGAAAAATATATTTAAAATTGTAGAAAATTTACAGAGGTGTGAAAAACTATTTGCCCCCTTCCTGATTTCTTATCCTTTTGCATGTTTGTCACACAAAATGTTTCTGATCATCAAACACATTTAACCGTTAGTCAAAGATAACACAAGTAAACACAATATGCAGTTTTGAAATGATGGTTTGTATTATTTAAGGAGAGAACAAAATCCAAACCTGCATTGCCCTGTGTGAAAAAGTAATTGCCCCCTGAACCTAATAGCTGGTTGGGCCTCCCTTAGCAGCAATAACTGCAATCAAGCGTTTGCGATAACTTGCTACGAGTCTTTTACAGCGCTCTGGAGGTATTTTGGCCCACTCATCTTTGCAGAATAGTTGTAATTCAGCTTTATTTGAGGGTTTTCTAGCATGAACCGCCTTTTTAAGGTCATGCCATAGCATCTCAATAGGGTTCAGGTCAGGACTTTGACTAGGCTACTCCAAAGTCTTCATTTTGTTGTTCTTCAGCCATTCAGAGGTGGATTTGCTGGTGTGTTTTGGGTCATTGTCCTGCTGCAGCACCCAAGATCGCTTCAGCTTTAGTTGAAGAACAGATGGCCGGACATTCTCCTTCAGGATGTTTGGGTAGAAGGTAGAATTCATGGTTCCATTTATCACAGCAAGCCTTCCAGTTCCTGAAGCAGCAAAACAACCCCAGACCATCACACTACCACCACCATATTTTACTGTTGGTATGATGTTCTTTGTCTGAAATGCTGTGTTACTTCTACGCCAGATGTAACGGGACATTTGCCTTCCAAAAAGTTCAACTTTTGTCTCATCAGTCCACAAGGTGTTTTCCCAAATGTCTTGGCAATCATTGAGATGTTTCTTAGCAAAACTGAGACGAGCCCTAATGTTCTTTTTGCTTAACAGTGGTTTGCGTCTTGGAAATCTGCCATGCAGGCCATTTTTGCCCAGTCTCTTTCTTATGGTGGAGTCGTGAACACTGACCTTAATTGAGGCAAGTGAGGCCTGCAGTTCTTTAGAAGTTGTCCTGGGGTCTTTTGTGACCTCTCGGATGAGTTGTCTCTGCGCTCTTGGGGTAATTTTGGTCGGCCGCCCACTCCTGGGAAGGTTCACCACTGTTCCATGTTGTTGCCATTTGTGGATAATGGCTCTCACTGTGGTTTGCTGGAGTCCCAAAGCTTTAGAAATGGCTTTATAACCTTTACCAGACTGATAGATCTCTTTTGTTCTAATTTGTTCTTGAATTTCTTTGGATCTTGGCATGATGTCTAGCTTTTGAGGTGCTTTTGGTCTACTTCTCTCAGGCAGCTCATATTTAAGTGATTTCTTGATTGAAACAGGTGTGGCAGTAATCAGGATTGGGGGTGGCTACAGAAATTGAACTCAGGTGTGAAACACCACAGTTGGGTTATTTTTGGGTTATTTTTTAACAAGGGGGGCAATTACTTTTTCACACAGGGCAATGTAGGTTTGGATTTTGTTCTCTCCCTAAATAATAAAAACCATCATTTCAAAACTGCATTTTGTATTTACGTGTGTTATCTTTGACTAACGGTTAAATGAGTTTGATGATCAGAAACATTTTGTGTGACAAACATGCAAAAGATAAGAAATCAGGAGGGGGGAAATAGTTTTTCGCACCACTGTATTTTACATGCAGCTCTGTGATAGACAGAGCGGGGAGCGAACCTGTAACCCTTCATTTACAGGGCGGGCACTTAAAGAGCAAGTCACTCCCTACCAGAGTCTTACTTCATTCCCACTTCTTGTTTGAAAAATGCAATAAATGCTGTTGCCTGGCAGACCGAGAGGGCAGAGCCGCTATTAAAAAATACATACACAAACACACACTGGCTCACAGCATCATTGTGACATCATAATGTACCAGCTATAGTCATAGAGTACCTCTTAGCCAATAGCGATGGCAGATTTTAATTTGAATGTAGTGCAGAGTTTTTACCTAAAGAGGGCGCAACACTGACAGTTTCAGGTAAAATATTTGAATGTTAACTAAGATGCACTAAAGTACCAACGTATTGACTACACGTGTCTACAGCACCATTAGACACTCATTTATGGAGTTTTTTCAGGAAAAAAAACTAAGTTGATTTGGGGGTGACGGTCACCCAGTCAGATGGAAGAATACTAGTCAGTTGACAGGGGTGACAGTCAAAAACAGAGACAGGCATGAGGGGGCACAAGAGCATTGCAGAAAATGATCAGGTTTGAAAGAGCTGGGTCTTAAAGAACAATAGACCGGTCCTGTTCTGGTGGCCCTCTATGGCTCATTTTGCCATTGTGGAACAGGTCAGGGAGTCTGGATTGAGTGTGGTGTCAGCACTGCTATCTGATCATTCTTTGACTAGAGGGACTAGTTGTGAAGTCAGCCTTTGCAAGTGGATTCAAGTATATGCGACCCATTCAAATCATGACTATATCCGACTTATTATGTTTGTTCATTTGGCAGATGCTTTTATCCAAAGCGATGCACAATTTTTAACCTATAGGGCATGTTGGGATCTGTGTGGAGAACCCGGAGGAAACACGCATGCATGGGAAGAACGTGCAACTCCACGCAGAAAGGCTGTAGCCGGGTTTTGAACCTGCAGCCTTCTTGCGAGGCACCAGTGCTAACAACTGCACCACCATCAGCCCGTGTATTTGTTGTAGCATGTCATATGAGAGTGTTCTGCTTTCAGCTGTCGGCGTGCAGATGTCCTTGGCTCTGCTGGAGAAAAGGTTCTGGGCCACTACCAAGCAGGTGACAGCATGACCCCCACCCTGTAATCACTGTTATTTACAATCCCCTTATGTCCCTGGACTGTGCCAGACAGTTTTATAACAACATGCCTTTGTTTAAAACTTGGCACAATTCACCACCAGAAACCAGAAGAGTGAAAAATGTAGTTTCTAACGTCCAAATCATGTAAATTAAAACATGCCAATCTTAGAAACTGCAGCACAGTTTTACTCTAGATGACTGTTAATCATGAAATATCATCCTATCTCATCCTAAATAATATACCAGACTGACATAAAGATGACCTCACAGCACCTTTCACTTGTTTTCTGTAAAAGACCTGCTAGTAACACAAGCTTGTCCTGCTAGGTTTTTTTGTTTTCTTCTTTATTTTATTTTATTTCATATGCAAAAACAATACCTGAATGAAATGCTATTTTGTTATGCCACACGAAACACATTTTACTAAATATGATTAGCAAAACTGTCATGATGAGAGCAGGAGGTTTGGACCCAAAATGCAGAACATCCAGACTACTCAGGCAAGAGCGCTTGAAAAAAGTAAAATCCTTTATTAAGGAAGATAATCAAAAATCCAAAGGGGAGGAGGCCAAAACCTTATCAGACAAAAACCAAAAACTCACTTAGAGACCTAGAGACTAGTAGGGAGGGACAAAACAACGCTGACATAAGACTAAATGAACCAACAAACACTGAAGGACAAGACAGGGTTTTTAAACACAGAGGGAGGTGATCAGGGGAACAGGTGACAGGTGTGAGTAGTGAGAGCTGGAGGGAAGGCAGGTGCGTACAATAATCTAAATGGTGGAAAGAAACAAGCAGGAGGGCAGATAAACCTGTAAAACACAGATAACTAAACTTTAAGACTGAGGGCAGATATAAACAACTAATAACTAGAGGGATGAGGAGAACTAATATAAAATCAAGTGGGGACTAACAGGGAGGACACCAGAGGGAAGGCTAGAGAGGGCTGAGTAGAACCTGGTGGAACCAACTAACTAAATGGGAATCAAAGAGCTTGGCAGGGGAACAGGAGGGGGCTGGGGAACAAAGGGAGACAGAACATGTCAAATACAAATAGTTTTAAATCTAGATGTGGAAATAGCGAAATTTTCTGTATTTTGGTACATTGCAAATTTTTTTGTAAACTCCACAAAATAAATTCCCAAGGAAAATAAACAAGATAGCAGTTTGCTTCAAAAGAATCGATGAAAGACAAAAAACACCCTATATTACCAGTAACAGCAAACATTGCCAGTCTGTGTTTTGCTCATGCGAGCAGGCTGGACAGGGGGGTACATGTCCTATAAACCCTACAATGCAAACTCGAAACATTAAGTGTTCCTGGTAAGAATAACAGGATTTCAGTCCATCTCTAAAAGTCTTCGATTCCTATCCATTTGCCCTTTCTAGCAAATGCTGATAAGAAATATTGTATCGATTAGATATTTCTTAGCTAAATTAGAAAGGAAATCCAGAACTGGGACTAGTACATTACAAAGAACTGAATGGAAAGCAATGCATTTTGATGGCAAAGCGCATTGTGCACAATTTTAGATGTATTTGCTTGTCAGAACTTGAGGAACATAAGTCTCACCCCTAACTCAAGAAGGTAAAGAAACATGAAATCGGACCACCTACTCTGTTACTTGATTTACAGACCCCCCCCCCCCCCCCCCCCCCCCACCCACCCACCACCACCCTGTTCCTTTCTCCTTTTTGGTAAAGGAAGGCCTACGCCAGTAATAGAATTAGTAGATCCAATGGAAGGCATCTCAAAGTGTCACAAGGAACTTTCTAGTATTTTTTTAACTGTTAATTATAAAAAACAATAAAAGATGATGATAATTAAGCCTCATTCAATGTTTTTTCCTAAAGCTCTGATGGTTGTAGCTTTGTTGTTGTACATCATGTGACAGAAAATTATCCAATCCAAAAATGTTTTGACCATCTCTTTCTTTTCTTTTGCTTCAATTAGCCCAGTGACACAGACGTAAGTACATACATTGTTGTAAAGTCTAAAATCCTAAATCATACATTTTTGTTCTAAATGAGCTTCTACTTCTGCTCAGTGCTCAAACGTTGAAGGAGTTTGTCCTCTTAGCTGTGAAAGCTCTGTAAGTAAACCGCTTTATTCTCTGTGTCGTGCTTAAACGAAACAATCGGTTCGGGTTTGGGTGGCAAAATACTAAATGTCTGCCTGTGCGTCTTCCTGAATAGGACCTTAATTGCTTCTTGGTGGACAACAATGGCTTCATCCTGTTGTCCAAAGAGAACAATGAGGTAAGACCCCCTACCTGTCTCATTTCTGTAGCCAGTGTTTGGAGTAACGCGTAACAAATGTAACAGATTACTGTAATGCATTGCTCTTAGCTGTTACGTGGTAATGTAAGGCATTACAGGAAAAACATTGATAATATTTTATTCAGCCTCGTTATAAGTGCTGAAGCCTCATTGCTGACTTTAACAAGTCTCATCTACAAATATGATCCCTCCTGAAGTTACTACTTTACACCAGAAGATAGTGGAGATGTGGAACCTTCAGGGTGAGCAAAGTTTGGGAGTTTTTAGAGTTTGAAAAACGCCTCCCGCCGCCGAGAGGATCCCAGTCGGGGAGAGGAGGAGACAACATGAAGAGCGCAAATATTAGATAAAACATATAATTGCCGGCAGGTCTGGTCTTTGTTGACTGATCACTTTGTCTGGTAATGACTGACTGATTATGAAGCAGAATATTGACTCTGATGAAGAAATTCACTCATCCAGCTGGGACAATTGACGCTGCTGCAGCATCAGACAGCTGGTGCTATACGAGAGGTGTGTGGAGTTTACAAGCTCCAAACGTTGGGTTTGATGTTGGTTTAACCTTGTTTGGGACGTGATGGATATAGGAACGATGGTAAAAACACCGCTAACGTGAAAGACGTAAAGACAATGTAAAAAAAAAAAAGCCGTTAAAAAAGGGGCAGATGCCGATGCGTTATATTTGGAAGTCAAGTGTGTCACATAATCATAACAATAAAATTAAAATATAAAATTTAAAAAGAGCTTCATGTATTTATATATAAATTAAAACTTTCCAAATATAATGAAAATTTCTAAATAACGTAAAACTACGAAGGAACATCTGTTGGTCAGGCTGAAAAGTTTGGGAACTACTGCTCTAAGTGATAAGTGAATATTGTTATTTAAATGTATTTTATGTGCAGTTTTTTAGGGCTTTTTATGTTTTCTGTAAAGATTGGTGCTGAAAATCAGTTAATGTTTTGCATAAAGCATGAGGTTTTGGTTAGTAATTGAGTGGGAGAATAACAAATGACTGATTTAAAAAGTGAGGCGCCTCTGTCAGTGCGCCCAGGGCAGCTGTGGCTACATCGTAGCTTATCACCATCAGTGTGTGAATGTGTGTGAATGGATGAATAATACACTGTAGTGTAAAACGCTTTGGAGTCCTTACTCTGAGAGGCGCTATACAAGTGCGGATCATTTATCATTTATAGTGATGATCATGCAGAGCTTTGTTGCCAGCTTTCCACTGCACAATGACTTCAAACACGTATATAATAGTGTTAGTTTTTACGTAAACCATTTGATGAAATTACACAAACTCACCGAGCTCTAGTTAAGGCTCTTGTAATAGTGTGTGTGTGTGTGTGTGTGTGTGTGTGTGTGTGTGTGTGTGTGTGTGTGTGTGTGTGTGTGTGTGTGTGTGTGTGTGTGTGTGTGTGTGTGTGTGTGTGTGTGTGTGTGTGTGTTTGGGGGAGGGTACATTGAAACTTTGTCCCCCCCCAGTTTGAAAATCCTATCTGCTTCCCTGTATGTCTGTATGTGTATATCTATTATATATATATATATATATATATATATATATATATATATATATATATATATATATATATATATATATATATATATATATACTGAGCAGATATACACACACATACAGACATACAGGGGCGCAGATAGGGTTTTCAAACTGGGGGGGACAAATTTCCAATGTAAATATAAATTCATACACCAACTTGCTTGGTCTGTTTTTAATCAAAAGATTATAATATTTATTTTTAAAGATTTAATAATATAGCAAAAGTTATTTGTTCATTCAGAAGATCTAAAGATCTTTGCTTGTTCAGTGATCAATATACACCCAAAAGACTAACCGTGTCATGGCGATCCTTCAACATTAACCTGCAAAACGCAGAAGAGTTCTGGTTACACCATCTTTGCTTCAGCTGTGTAAAGTCCAGACGCCTGGTTCTGAGGACTGTTATCTCACAGTTGGTTAGCTATTATAATGGACTGGAAGCTTTGTGCCAAACACCGTTAGTTCTGAGATGTTTGTTGATCTGCACAAAGATATGTAAGATGATAAAATAGTTCATCTAAATCTCCAGGTTTTATTTTGTTAGCTTAAACTGCAGAGATTGAGCTCTGGATAGCGGCTGGAGACAATGTTTGAGCCCGCCAGCTTATGTGGATGTGTGCAATTACCCAGATGTAAACAATAACATTCAATAAACTCTGTAATGATGTTAATAGTACATTTGACAGGATGTGCATGACAGGGAAGTTTCTTTTTTTCTCGCAGTTTCTCTGAGCCTTATTTGCATTTTCTTCCCATCTCAGAAGATCACACTAGATGACATCATGGTAATGCTTTATAGCTCTGCTCATAGCTTGGGCTCTAGGTGCAAATGGAGGATTTAATGTCATTCCCATTGTGATGCTGGATTTTAACCTGGTGTTGGATGGATGGGTTAATGGAGTATTAACGCATCTACTCTAACGTGACACTACTGAACTGTAATACGCGTGTCTTTTGTTTTCCAGGTCGGTCGTTTCTTCGGAGAAGTAGATGGGTCTGTCATGGCTGCACTGCTCAAGATGGGCATGTTCAAAAAGTAGGACTAACTCAGAATTTCTAGTTTCTAGTTGAGACATTTCACTGGAATTAACTAAATATTTGTTTTCAGAGTGTCACTTTTTGACTACCAGGCTATGTGTAAAAACAGCCACCATCATGCCAGTGGTGCTCGGCCTTTGCTCAGTGTAAGTTTCATGTCTTCCTCTCTGTTCATTAACCATTGCCAACATGAAAACTCATCACAACTTTGTTATCCTCAGCATGATCAGCTCTGGTCTTAGGTGTAATTAAATAGAGATTTTGCCATTTTCAAGGTAGAGTTCAGATTGTTTCTTGGATGAAATAAAATAGTTGAACATCAGAAAATGTAATTTTTAAGTTATGAGAGACTATCACACTAAATGTAATTTCTCAAACATGTCATAAATGTATGTCCTTCTTTCTGTCCTTCAGCCATTTTACACCATTATTGCCTTGATTAAATGGTTCTTCTCTAATGCACTGATGTAAGTAGTGAATTGCAATGTTTATGCTGTACTGTATGTGTAGGGTATAGTGTAGTGAATAACTAGTATTAAAGGTGAATACACCAATATTTTCACAAAAATCATTTTTGTTTTAAACTCTCAGTGACACACTTGGCAGGGTGGATTTGGCATTTAATTATTCTTGGCATCTAGAAAAACATCTCCTTTTGCCCCCCTTTATGTGACTGTCTGCCCCCTTTATTTTGGTCCAAGATCATTACTGGGCTGGTCCTATTAAAAACATTCTACACCCCTGCTCAGTAGACTTAATGAAGTATTTTTAAGCCAGTATAAAAATGACTGAAACACAGATTTACATATTTGGCATCAGTGATGTTGGAGTTGTACCAATCCATCCTGGTGAAGAAAGAGCTGGGCCGGAAGGCAAAGCTCTCGATTTACAGGTCAATCTACGTTCCTACCCTCACCTATGGTCACGAGCTTTGGGTATTGAACGAAAGAACGAGATCACGGAAACAACCAGCCAAAATGAGTTTTCTCCTTAAGGTGTCCGGGCTCTCCCATAAATGTAAATATAAAAACACGCACACACAGACACACACAAAGTAAGGGTAAGAGGCGACCTTATTTATCACTGCACACGCTAGTATCTGGATATATCCTCCTGTTTTTCCAGAGTTTTTTGCAGAGTCAGTTGTGTTGTTTTCCTGCTGTTAGTGACTCCCTAAACCCAGCTTCATGGTGGTTTTTCAGCACGGGACTTTGTTCCTCCTCTTGAAAACCTTGAGCCAAAAGGTTAGGGGTTAGGGTTACGCAACACCGACACTGCTCCTCCTCTTGCACGTGATTGTTCAACCACAAGCTGACCGACACTAAGTGGTGTTGCTACGGTCTTACCGAAAGACTTTTGTCAGTACAAGTACAAGCAGGAGGTATTGGACCTTATGTTCATTCTGGTATTGGGATTGGGGCAGCCCTGATTTTTAAAATAAAGCAGCCTTTTAGATGTTGACAGGAAAGTAAGTTTAACTTTGTAGATGCTTAGTGATTCAACAGAAACACAACCAATCATATGTAGTTTACATGGTATTATAGGATAGCTGGTGCCTTTCATCTCCAATCATCTCTCTCTCTCTCTTCCTCTGTGTGTCTCCGGTCAGGTTTCTGCTGGACTTTAACTTTTGTGGTCTCTGGCACTCCGATTATTTTGTGGATGGTAAGGAATGGAGAGAACTACACATTAGATACAGACTAATATCTACGTTTTCGTCACTCATTGGCCTTTGTTTAATTTCCAAACATAAATCGGCAGCAGTAGCTCAGGTGGTAGAGCGGGTTGCCTCATGATCGGAGGGTCATGGGTTCGATTCCAGCTCCTGCCAGGGGTATCCTGCTGTTGTGTCCTTGGGCAAGACACTTCACCCAACTTGCCTGTGTTAGTGGTGGTCAGAGGGGCCGACGGCGCCAAATGGCAGCCTCGCCTCTGTCAGACCTCCCCAGGGCGGCTGTGGCTACAAGTAGCTTACCATCACTAGCAGTGTGTGAATGTGAGAGTGTGTGAAAGCGTCTTTGGGTGTCTAGAAAAGCGCTATATAAGTTCAATGCATTATTATTATTATTATCTTCGGTTTCCTCATTTTCACCGTCAATTTTTCCATCATCCCTCCAACCTAATCCCTTCACTGTGACCTATCTTCTTCCATTCAGCCAAAGCTGGGTATCACACATGTGAGTACAACATATCTGTTGCTAAAGAGAAAGTGGGGCTCCATCCATGTTGCGACAGGTGAAGTAACACTGTCCCTGTTTTTAGCTCATAAGCAAAGGAAGGTGGAAGCTCTGCAGCCCTGCGACACCGCCTACCCTGGATTCATGTATGATGAATCAGTCAGAGAGGCCAACAGCCTCATCAAGTGTGGACGCTGCCAGAAGTATGACACACACACACACACACACACACACACACACATACACACACACACACACACACACACACACACACACACACACACACTCACACACACACACACACACACACACACAGAGTCGTGCCAGTACGTTTACACACACTTTTTTGGGGCCATTTCTCAAAATAAAAATGAATGAAAACACGAAAACCTTTTTTCACCCATGTTGAAACTAATTTATTGTGAAAAAAATGTGTGGACTCATCTCATATCACCATGACAATTATAAAATACCAAAATGACCCTATGAAAAAGTTCCCATTGTGATATATATATATATATATATATATATATATATATATATATATATATGTATATATATATATATATATATATATATATATGTATATATATATATATATATATACATATATATATATATATACATACATATATACATATAGATACATATACATATAGATACATATACATATACATATATATATATATATATTTATATGTATATATATATATACATATATACATATAGATACATATACATACATATATTTATATGTATATATATATATATACATATATACATATAGATACATATACATATACATACATATATTTATATGTATATATATATACATATATACATATAGATACATATACATATATTTATATATATATATATATATATATATATATATATATATATATATATATATATGCAAATTTCATTCGTTAATTTGTTTGATCTTCTTAGGAATTTAAACATAAGCTGATAGCAACAGCCTTAGTTCCTAGATATGTAGTTCATTAACCCTACATATCCGATGAAAAGGCCGGGTTACAATCGTCATGAACAGGGTCACCTGGGGTTGCATTGGTTACAGAATATGAATGAAGATAAATGTGTAAAAGCAACCTAATCCTGGTCAGGATTCCAAGTCTGTTCACTGTTGAGACATTGACGGAGTTAGCGTGTCTGGTTTGTGTTTCAGGATGTTTGTGGTGCAGCAGGTTCCTGACAGTAACCTGGTCCTGATTGTGACACAAGCTGACTGTGACTGTTCTCGTCAATTTGGACCCATCTCACTTCAACCCAAGGAGATCAAATATATCCTTCAGTTGTTTAAACCAAAACACAGACGACTAATCCCTCAGGAGGTTTCAGTTCAACAACCGTCATTCTCATTGTTGCATGTAGACCAAAACGAAGGCGTCATCCAGTTAGAGAGAAAAGGACACACACACACACACACACACACACACACACACACTATATTGTTAAAGGCCACTATGTTCATGTCTTCAAATGACGTATAGGTGCATTAACTATGTGACAGCGACAGCACATCCGTTGTTAATCAAACTTCAATTCTTCTCCCCAGTGAACTGGGCACTGGCCCACCTGTTAGGTTTCCTTAAACCGGTTCCTTCCAGCATGAGTTTGCCAACAAATTCAATATTTCTTTGACAAATTGAAACTAAATGTAGTTTCCTTCCTGAAGCCTTTTGGGGTTAAATCAAATGTCTTCATTTACTGTTATTCTTAGCTCTGGATCATCTGAGTCAGCCCTGAACACCAGGGGTGGGCTGGCCATCGGGAGGTGTGGGAGTTTTCCTGAGGGCCAGACTGCCAGAAGGTTTGGCCGTGGATTTCAGTAGCAGTTTTATAAATGAGTCCCCAGCCCAATACCATCCTTCCAATGAAGCATGGTGGTAGCAGCATCATGCTGTGGGGATGTTTTTCAGCACCAGCAACTGAGAGACTAGTCAGGAAACAAAGATTAAAGCAGCTACTTCCTGGATGGAAACCTGCTCCTGAGAACTCTTAACCTCAGACTGGGGCAACAGCAGGACGGCAACCCAAAACAAAGTCAAGATATCACAGGAGTGACTTCAGGACATCTCAGTGTGAATGTCCTTGAGCGTCCCAGCCAGAGCCCACACTTGAACCAGATTGAACATCCCTAGAGGTTTGAATTACTGCCAAAGGAGCAGCGACAAAGCATTGCGTTTTACCTTCTTCCTTAATCTCTGTAAACATAACGCCACTGTGAAGTGCAACAGAATGAAGTCTCAGAAGGCGCGGCGGCGTCCTGAGTCATGCCACTCCTACCACCCAAAGGTCAGTGTGAGGTTCCTAGGTTGTGTTCTTACAGATTCTTGTACAGAATCATGTGGCGTTCTGACCTCAGGGCTCTGAAACAAACATGAGAGTGTGACATTATTGGGAGCACAATGAAAAATCTTATTGCAGTATTTTGCTTTAAATGTCAAAAACAGTCCTTGAGTAAACAACCATGGTTTTGTGTTTTGCCCAACAGGAGAATGCTAAGGAATGTGGCGGGGCGTCGTCCATCTCTTTGTCTCTGGCGTCTGCTTCTTTAGTCATCTCATTGGTTCTTCTCTCCTGGATGTAAATCAAGAAAACACTATTAAACAAAAAATGGTGTCGGAGTTGAAAGTGACAAGAGACACTGCAAACAAACAAAATAAATCTGCTGCTTGGGGGTTTCAGCCTTTAGTTCGGAGGCAACAGAACTGTTAGAACGTTCATGTCACAACTTTCATAATGTTCAAACAAACCTAATCTTTGATGGAAGGTCCTTTTGGGCATTTGTCCTTATTTTAATGGGAGTTTTTCACATATTAGTGAATCTAACTGATTCAGAGTTTTGCAGCAGGAAAAACAGCATTGGTGTCTGGAGTAAAGCTGACTAGGATTAAACCCAGATGGGCACAAAATATCACCATTATAATCGAAACATGCTCGTTTTTATTTTCTTATTTATTTAAATTTTAAACCAGTCGATTCAATGGAAGACAGACAGACAGCAAAGGTAATGGGAGCAAAAGCAGCAAAACATAAGAGCATAAAGCCTACAGGGTGAGGACACATGGTCTGTGGGTCCTCCAAGAGGGAAGCCAAGGGACCCGGACCTGAAGCCTACATGGAAGTGACCAAAAATTGCAGTTCCACCCTCATCCACTAGGGGCTGACCCCAGAAAGGAGCAAATCCTCATTGACTCCCAAGCCAGTTTCACAGCAGAAATAAACAAGTTTACGGCCTGGTTCAGAAACCATTCTAGGTTTAATAGCTCTAGTTTACATACATGACAACTCTGAGGGGGTGAATGTTTGTAACTGTTTCATTTAGGTGTAATTTACTCACTCACTGCCAGCCGTTTCCTGATCACTAACGGCCTTCGCTGCCAGCGTTTCTCGCCGTTTTTACTGTTTTTTTAAGAGTCACAGAACGTTGCTCGCTAGGATGATGTCGACGCCAAAACAACCAAAACAAAGAGGAGACTCACCTCACCAGAATGATGATGAATAATGAACGTGGGACACTCCTGCTGGCTGAATGTACTCGCAAATCAATTTGGAACAAGAAGATATTTACCGTAATTTCTGGACTGTAGAGCGCACCTCAATATAAGCCGCACCAACAAAAAAAAAAAGGTTTTCTACACACACACGCCGCACTCAAATACAAGCCGCGGCGCAGCAGCCACATGCAGGTCTCCGGCGCACAGCGCATGTACGGCCATAACATAAGATAATTAGACAGAAAGACGCTACACGGAGGTTTTTCGTTGTTGTTTTAAATCAACAAAAGAATTTTAAACACGGGTGAACGTGCCTGCAAGTTTAGAAAAGAAAACAGCACTGATAGCATTCATATTTCTGGATGGTTATAAAATAAAAACAGAACTGACACGTTATTACCGGTAATTTGCATGTTTAGAAGAAAAGAACAGCGCTGACACAGCATCAATAAGCCCTGGATGATTAGAAAATAAAAACTGCACACAAAACATGCCTGGTTAGTAAATAAAACACACCAGCCTACCAGAAGAAGTCATCCGCTCTCATCTTCCTCTTGCGCACTAAAGCCATTAAAGTCCTCTTCTTCAGTGTCGGAGTTGAACAGCCTCAGAAGAGCTTCGTCACATACCTTTTCTGTGGCGATGTCAGTGTCGCTGTCCGTGTTGCTGTCATCATCCCCGAGTGAAGCTGGCTTGAATGAGTTCTTCCCGTTGCCGTCTCCAGCACCGAACCATGGACTCATTCATGCCAAGCTTACGTGCGGCAGCACTGTTTCCCTCCTTTACCGCCAGATCGATGGCCTTCAACTTAAATGCGGCATCATATGAACTCATACGTGTAGTTACCATGATGAGGGGGTATGGATTTGAAAAATATTCTTCATCGTACCGGCTGCCTGCATGTGCTAAATTAAAATGAGCACTTTCTTCCATTTCCACTTTTGACTTCCACCTGTTTCACTTTCTGCTAAAGCGCCCCCTGCAGGTGAAGGAAAATCTTCAGTAAAGCCGCACCTCATTATAAGCCGCACGGTTCAAAGCGTGGGGAAAAAGTAGCGGCTTAAGGTTGGTTTATGCTTGACGCGTCTGCGAGGTCCGCACGGCCCAAGATTTCCGCAACGCGCACCTCGGAAAATTTCTAACCACGCGGAAGGACGGACGCGGAAAAACATGGCGGACCGGCAAGAACTAGTATGGCAGTGATCAACATGTTAATAATTCTTGGAGAGAAATAGCTCGCACTGTCGGAAAAGATGAGGACGCTGTTAAAAATGCTGGAATGCCATGTTGTAAACAACAGTCATTTCTACTTCTACTATGGTGTAGTGTTGGATTCATGCCGTAGAGCTCCATGCTGCCCCGTTGAATTTGGGAGAATATTGGCTCACCGCAGAGACGAGCCGCATGAACCATAAACGATGCGAGTTGTGAAGCGCGTTCCATCCGCGAGCCGCATCACCAAGCGGAAAGTAAATGCGTCAAGCATAAACCAAGCTTTATAGTCCGGAAAATACGGTAATAGAAGAAGCATCTTGAACTTTCAGAGCGTTAGAAGTTACATAAAATTTTAAATTCAGTTGTGGATATTACAGGGAGCCATGGAATGATGCTAAAACTGGAGAAATCTGGTCTCCTAACTCATCAGAACTCAGGATCAGATGAAGGCCTCTCAGAGATGATGATAGCGAATTGCCGTTATCAAGTCTAGAAGTAAGTGCAGCAAATACATGAACTAGCCTATCTTCTCCACTTTTGGTCAGGATGTTCCTAATTTCAGCAAGGTGATACAATTGAAAGATGGCGGCCCCAGTAACATATGAGAGATCAAGGACAAGTTCACAGAGAAACCTATTTTTTTAATTGTGGATTGGAAAGGCTACAGAGAGATGATCAGAATAGAAATCCCTTTACTGTCCCTCACTGGGGAACATTTGGTGTCACAGCAGCAGTAACATTCAATACAGGAGCAGAAAGGAGAGTAAAATATAAGAATAACAGAGTAAACAAGAAAATAGAATATTCCAAATACTCAGATTAATAATTCAAATGTGATGTTTTTCAACACATTTTAATGAATAAATGACATAATACCAGTAAGTAACAAATACCACTGATGTGTGTTTTATTTCAAATGTACCTGCGTGTGTGTAATTCTAGATTCAGTGTTAATGCAAAAGAAAGTTTGTTTACAAGTAAAAAGGTTCAACATCACATCTGTAGATGTGCACATATGTCATCCCTTTTTTTAAAATAAATATTTTCAACATCACATCTGTAGATGTGCACATTTGTCATCCTTTTTTTAAAATAGAGAGAGAGAGAGAGAGAGAGAGAGAGAGAGAGAGAGAGAGAGAGAGAGAGAGAGAGAGAGAGAGAGAGAGAGAGAGAGAGAGAGAGAGAGAGAAGGACGCTCCTCCAAACACGTGTTATTATTTTCATGACTTCATTATTGTTTCTCCTGGAAGCGCTCAGTCAGACCGAGTGCTGTGATGTTGGGAGATCCGGTCTTGGGGAGGGAGCGGAGTGAGTGATGGCGGCTGCAGCATAATCATCTGTCTCTTTTATTTAGGGACACGGAGAAGTTAAAAGGAGAGAGAAATAGAAGACAGAAGTTCTTGTTCCACTTTATTCTTTTGTTTCTTGATGATAAACTGATGTTAAATTCAGCTTAAAGAGAAACTGAGAGGAAGCTTTGGTTCATTTTAAGTTACAGGAGATCTTGTTTCCTATCTGCTCCTCCAGAGACAGCATGGACATGAGGGTCACATGGTGAGGGTCCCACAGGACAGGTGAGTGCAGTCACACAGCTGAGCTGGAGGGGGGCAGGTGTTGTCCTTCTTTATATTGCAAGCTTGTGTGTTATACGCATTACAGCCAGCGATCTAAACAGCAGCAGCACACCACCACCACCACCACCACCGGCAGCAGCGGTTTTAGGCACGGGCAGACAGGGCAGTTGCCCGGGGCAGCATTTTTTCATGACACAAAAGGGGCGCACAAGCGCTGAGTAAAAAAAAAAGAAAGAAATCTGCGCCGCACCGAGGTTTTCTATTATCTGTCATATCACAGTGTCTGGATTGGAAACAGCAAGTTGGCGCCCCCTGCAGCTGCAGGCGCTCCTGCTGCTGACTGAGAACGTTCACGGTGTGTGTATGAAGAAGAGGAAGGGGAGGGGCGCGGCGGGGGAATTCACCTCTGGGTGGGTCCAAATCAAATGAGCGGGTAGGGGCTGAATCAACTGTATTAACATGGCTGAAGTCAACCACATCTTGATGTTCTTCCATTTAACGCACATTTCATTCATAATATCATAAACACAGGCCCATCATTCTTTCAGGTTTTTCTGAATTGTGTGAAATGACCAAATAAAAAAAGGAAAAACAAAACGATTTTGTGGTCACCCCCCCATCAAGGTCAAATTGTTTAGTCCCGACTAAAGGAAACTTATTGAGTCAAGAGCCAAACAGAAGAGATGAACATAAAAAGACTAAAACCACCAGGTGCCCGATTCAGGAAAAAAAAGAGGAGAAAGATAAAGGTATGTACGCTCTCATGATGCTGTGTTTTCAATTTTTTGAACCAGTTAATATTATATTAATATCAGTGCATGAACAAAAGAATGTGTAACAGACTTACTCCATACATTAGGTGAAATAAGCTCTCTAAGCATCACAGAAAGGGGAGTGGCTGAGGGTCTTGGTAAACATCTAGACACAATAATCAGATCTGGTTGGTCAAAGTTTATAAACAACCATTTCATTAAAAGTGAATCACTTCCTGTTTTAACCGGTTCCAGCCAAAGCTCACAGCTCATGCTAAATGACCATCCTGTGGGGATAAACCAGATATTTCAGTGGAATAACTTCAGCAGCACATGAACCATCCTTTTGAATCAACTATTATTATTTATTCAATCATCCACTCATCAGACATGAAACCGTCCACCAGAAGCCACCTGGGAAGTATCTTCTGACCAGCTGTGCGTATGCTGAGGATGTCTACGATCTTCAGATACATCAGAAGTCCACTCACTCGCTCTGGGAGACGGCTTCACCCAGGCGCGTTGCAAGATTTTCAAAAGTGTGGGGGATGTTGTCTGTGCCTAAAATAATTTCATGTTATTCATCTTGTTAGTTTAATTTCCATAATAGCGGAGCAGGTGTGAATTTTAGACGCGTCACACATGTCTCCGTTTTAAACATGTTTAAACTGTTCAGAACACAAATCCAGGCTCTGTCTCGTTAGATTGGTGTAACTAAAGTTTGTACTGAATGAAACTCTACATTAAACCATGTTGAAAAGAAAAGGATCTGATTAAATCATTTCCTCCTCATAGACAGTCACGGAGTACATAGTGCGCACGGCTCTGGGGTTAATCAAGTTTAGTTGTTTCTCTTTGCAACAATCTTCACAGGAAGGCAAAACAGTTAAATGGCAGGTTACAGATATTTCCATTTGACTGTTTATTTTGACAGATAAACTCAAGGATGTTGGTTGTTTTGAAAGAATTACCCCGACGCACACTGATGCGCATGGATGAGCTGACATTTTAATCGTCACGCACATCGCGGAGGTAACTAAATCAAGAAATGATTCCCATCAGAACATCAGAGCTTTATACTGGACACTGTGCTCAGCGCGGCTCGGAGCGCCCAAGGTGGACAGTGGGCTGAAGATCTGTAGAGGGGTTCGCAGCGCAGCGCAGAACCGTGGCGCAAGCGACAAGATTTCCTCTCACTGAAGCGGTCTGGAAAGCCGGTCTCTGAGGGATGTGTCACTTGGAAAAATGTTCGCTGATTATGAAACTTTGGCTGAATAGCGCTTGTTCCCGTCTCTCATATGGACACACATGACGCATCCAGTCTGAGGCAGAATAGCCTCTTCAGCTCAGAAAGCACCTGTAGAGACATTTGATCACGCACAAAGTTTATGTGGAGCAGAAACGGTCGGGCCACGGCAGGTGGAATGTTCCTATAGCCCACATGAAGTGAAAATGTTTAATTGCAACATTAATATGTTACTGGACACGCTGGTCTGGTTGGTTAGACCAGTGTTTGAAGTGGAAAACACACACACACAAACGCTCACACACCAATTAAAATAATGCTGATAGTGTGGACTAGAAGCCAGGTGATGGTTTACGTATTTAAATGATGACCAGGCTGCTGTAAAATGTAATCTCCATCCACATCCAGACACAATTATCCTCTATTCTTTCTCTATTTGCTCTGCTCTTGTCTGGGCTGACATAGCTGACGGTGCACGCGGCACGCCGAGCGGCTGTAACGCACATTTTACGCATTTGGAGAGGTGGACTGGATGCTTTGCTTTTACTGGAAGATGGATCTTTTTTTTCCAAAAATGTCGGAGATTTTGCTCCGTGAATAACCGTAAAAACTACCGGTGTGCATGTACGCTTATGAAAGAGTCCTACGTTGAGCGGTAAATATTAGAAGTGCAGGTAAAGCATTCTGGTGCCTATAAATAAAAAATGAATGAAAATTAAATTGGGAGTTTTTACTTCATATTTTAGAAATAAAAATGACGGGGGAACACATTTTTGACGTCTTTTTAACAAAATTTTCTAGCGCGACCTGCCTGCTTCACTTAAGTCACTGCTTATTAAGGTCCGTCCAAAATGACCGTGGCCCACCCAAAAATGAAAACCTGGCGCCGCGCCTGTTATAAACCTCTGCAAATTGTTGTTCTTCACTTCATCAAACTCAGTTTGTACAGCTAATGTCAAGATGTCAAACTATGAATTCAGTCGAGCTCTTCCCTCCCTCCCCCGTTTCTCCTTGAAACCCAACATTGGCTGTCGGGTTTCAAGGAGAAACAGTAGAGGGAGGGGAAGAAGGAGATGAGGCAAACAGAGTGAGTGTGAGAAACCAGACTGGTGTGGAGGTGAGCAAAACAGCTGGAAAAGTGTGGGTGTTGAACGATCTCAATAAGAAAAGTGTGGGTGTTGAACCCCCACGGGTGCTACGCCCATGGCTTCATCTGCAGGCCGGATCTCCAGAGCTTCCATGATCCAGGGTGTGTAGACTAAACAATGGCGTCAGAGTGGTTGATATTGATCTGATAACTTGTTAAATTATATCCAACAAACAGCCAGATGTATTTAATAAACCAGACATCGCACCTTTCTGAGTCACTTAGAAAACACTTAAACACACCAGGTCATGTTTCATCGGAGTTCATTCATCGTCTCATTTAACATCACTGTGTCACCATTTACAATCATTTACCTTTCATCATCATTAATATAGTCATAAATAGATTAAACTATATTTTTGTCTTTGTGTCAAATTATTATAAAGTGTTTTTTCCCAGGATTAACCGAAGTACTGAGTTTCATCATCAATCAAATATGAAAAGATCAATAACATTGATAATCCATAATTTTATGGAATATTACATTTTATTGAATCCCTTTATATTCTACACTTACGCATTGTTACAGATGCATCCCAAGAACACCATCCCTACTGTGAAGCATGGGGGTGGAAACATCATGATTGGGGGCACTTTTCTGCCAAGGGGACAGGACAACTACACTGTATTAAGTAGACGCCAACCGATTAGCTTTATTTTATGGCCAATGCCGATACCGATTTTTAAAGAACTTTGCTGCTGACATCTAAAGCCAATTATTAAGGCTGATATAAATACATTTTAGCAACACATTGATTGTGAAAGACAACTGAACCCTAACTGTGTGCAATATAAATTAAATAAGTCAATAAATCTCTTAATATTTATCGAACTTCAAATATAAAATAAACTCAAAACATTAAAAAAAATGCAGTGTTGGATTCCTTCGGATCCTTTCTTAAGTTTAGTAGTAGTATCATTTGGCCACACAGGTGCCTGATTTATTTATATTTGTTTTATCTGCTTTTAAAGATAATTTCAGCCGATGACCGATATAGAAAAAATTGAATATCTTGCCAATTTATCTGTTGGCCTCTAGTATTAAGGAGAGGATGAATGGGGCAATCAGCTTCCTTCCCTTACAGCATCAAAGATGTGTTGTGGTTGGGTCTTTCAGCATGACAATGAGCCAAAGCACACAGCTTGGATAACTTAAGCCTGATTTATGCTTCTCCGTCTGCGTCAGTGCGGAGACACGCAACACCATTATCCGTCCTTGCGTAGGGATCCGGCAGGCACGCAAGTACATATGGAGTCGAGCCCACTTTTTTAAACATCCGTCGAACGAAACGGATTACGCAAGCTTGTGATTGGTCAGGACACCACTGTTGTTTACAGCGCCGCCATTGCAAAGAGAGCAGAGTTTAATTAGCGGCAGACACGGAGAAGCTTGAAGAATACTTCGCGAAAAAACTCTAAAAATATGAACGTTTCATCCTCCTGTGACTGGAGGAGTGAAAAGATGCGCAGCAAGCGTTTTATTTGTGAACGGAAATGACAGGAAACGTGGGTTTGGAGGTGGGGAGCGCATGAAGAGGTGGGAGATTGAGAGACAAATATGTCCGTGTTAAAAGACTCTTATATACACAAAAAACACAATATAAACAAACAATCTTGGACCAATACATGACAGGATACCACAGAACAGCGCTACGCCCTCTGTGGTCCTGCCGGGCAATTGCTTTGCAACACTCTCCAGGAGACGGAGAAGTAAAAGAGCAAAACGCTTCTGTCAATCCGTGCGTGTCTGTCCCTTGTGGAGCTGACGGAGAAGCATAAACCAGGCTTAAGGAGTGGCAACGTAAGAAGCATATAAAGGTTCTGGAGTGGCCTAGCCAGTCTCCAGACCTAAATCCACCAGAAAAGCTTCCTGTTCCAATGGAGCGTTCACAAGGCTAGTATTTCGTCTAGTTCACTAGGCTAGTGTTTGGTCTAGTTCACTAGGCTAGTGTTTGGTCTAGTTCACTAGGCTAGTGTTTGGTCTAGTTCACTAGGCTAGTGTTTGGTCTAGCTCACTAGGCTAGTGTTTGGTCTAAATTACTTGGCTAGTGTTTGGATACAAGTTTAGATAGAAGTAAATTCTCATGAGATGGTGTTTTCAGTGTTTGATCCTGAAACATTGGTTCCTCCTGTAGGAACTGCTGGAACATTAAAATTGAAACCACGTTTTAGTCTTCGAGCCTCATGCCATTATGAATATATTTAATGTGCATCACTGTTACATCCCCGACATGTGTTGGTAAAAATGTGAAGGATGGGGGTAACATAAGAACTGGCGGCGGAGTTTAAAATGGGTTTATTTGTACAAAAAGGTATTAAAAACACGAGCAAAACTGATTTCTCTAAAAGGCTAACAGTACAAAGCAAATTATCAACTATAAAACACCTGGTAAAAACTTATATTAAAAGTTTTACCGCAACGAAGGTGTTTTAAAATCCTGAAGTTGATAAAAGGCTAAAAACACTCTGACTAAAACACCTGGTAAAAACTTATTTTAAAAGCTTTACCACAGCGGAAGGTGTTTCAAACCAAGGTCAGTAAAAAATAACCACAGACAAAGTTAACCTTAAGACCCAAACACACAAAAGATCCCACTGGATCATCCTCAATTTCTCATTAAGAGTTAAAAACAACCAAAGTTTAAAACACAAACAAATCCAAACGACCAGGGGTTGAAGCTACACAAAACCAGGAGGACAGCAGAACCCCATCAACTGCTGCCTCCCAGACTGCTGAAGGCACAGCCTTTTTATACAGGTGTTGGCAATCAGTGAAGATTCCTTGCAGCTGTGCTCCTCAGCAGCCCGGGAGAGAGGAGGAGGAGGGGCGGTGTCAGGCTGATTCAGCAGGACTTGGTGATTCTGGCTTCTTCTCTCCACAGGCCAGCCTGGCATCCATAACAATCACAAAAAGTTCTTCATAAAATGCTACTAAGGCAGTCTTTGGGATTTTTACGCAGTTAGCCTTCAGCTCCAGCTGATATTTTCGATAGAGGAAATGAAGAGAGGAAGGTGTGATTCAATAGCTCACAGGTCATGCTGCCAGAAGACTCCAAATGAATGTGTAGCAGTAATGAGACACAGCAGTCCAACATACGGGTGGAGAAGGTGGCTCTCCTGGCCTGCTGGTATCCTGTAACCTTGCTTCAGGATGCTGAGGCATTCAAATAAATAAAAAATAAAGTTGATTCTGATATATGATAGAAATTTGAAAAAGGGGTGTGAACTAAGGAAGTGTAGGTAGAAGAGGTGATGATGAAGAGGACAAAGTGATGATCACAATAAATTAGACCACTGCCTCCATGTGGACCCGATGTTCTCTACAGCTGGTTTAGATGAAAGGGGTAAAATGTCAAGTTTTAGAGGGAAGAGTCTTAATGTCATCGCGGGGAAACACTAAAGAAGATTTGAGTTCAAACCACAGTCTAAAGTTTATCTGAAACCAGTTCATGAATCAAAAGTTCCTGGGATTGAATCCAAATACAGACATCTCATGTTGCCTAAAGCTCAGCCTCTTGACTTCTCTGACCCCAACATGCTGCTGTTTGTTAGGCTGAACCTGCTCGATGCTGGTCAGGGTTAATGGTGATTATTTAAAAACTCAGCAGGAACGTTTCACATTCTGGTTTAATGAATGTTATTCAGGAGAAGCAGACTCCCGACTTACAGCAGAGAAATCCACTCCTTGTGGGCAGTTTTCCACCTGAACTCCTGCAGACGTCTCAGACAGAAAGTTTAAAGGAACTTGTAAAAATACTTTGTGTTTTTGGTTGCAGGTCAAACTTTGTCCAGGAGGACTCCTTCAAAAACAAACCCTCTGTCCACAGAAATGTTACAGTCAGCTCACTGTTTCAACGTCCATGTCTGTCTGAGCTGAGAGTGAAAGTCCAGCTTTAAACTGGCTGCTGTTTTTCTTGGGCTGGATCCGTTTCCTCAGCCTCCCCTCCTCTCTCCTGGTTCCAGTCTCTCAAACCCTCTGGAAGACTGGTGTCCTCCTCAAAGCTTCCTGTTCCCTCCACAAACTCCTCGTATGTGGACTTCTCCTGGAATGGCCGTGGACCCAGAAGCTCCACCATGTCCTCCTTGTTCAACACCTCCTTCTCAAGCAGATGGTTCCCCACCTAAGAAAGAGACCAGCAACCAGTATCAGATGTTTGCTGAAGTCCAGCAACAGTCAAGCTAAATCAATCTGAGTGCAGCTTGCAAGGTCTCTCTCCTCCGTGTCTCAAATGTCAGCCAGTAGGAGGTGAGGAGCAAGTGGGGAGAGCACTGACTTCTGACCGGCTCAGAAACCCAGAGTATGTGGCTCTCATAAGGAAAAGATAAAAACCTTTGAGACATGAGACCTTATGACAGACCAGGGGCCTAATTTATAAAACATTGTTTAGGATCCTTACTAAGGTTGGATTCACACTGCAGGCAAAAGCGCATCAAATCTGATTTCTTTCCCACATGTGACCCATATCTGATCAAGTCACAGATCCGATCCAGGTCACTTTCATATGTGGAACTGAACCCGATACGTATCTGATGTTTTTGAAAGGGATTTTCCCCCTCTGGAAGTGCTTGGGTTGCCTCGGGGGGTGGACTACTGGCGGTTGTGAGTGGGTCCCCTTGGTGGTGTTGGCGGTGGCCATGGGTCGCTGCCTGGCAGCTGCATTGCCCCTGAGCAGACTTGGGTGGGGGCCTGGGGGCTCAGGTTGTGGGGGTGCCGGGCCCCATGTGGGGATCTGGGCAGGGCCTTGGGGGTCAGTTCCTGACATGTATGCTGCTGAGAAGAAGGCAGGAACATGCAGCAGTGCCTGGCCCGGGCTCAGGGGCCTCAGGTAGACCTTGGCTCCTCTGCTGTCCCATCACAGGGAAGGGGGATGTCCAGGAGGGGGAGGACCCAACCTTACCTGGATGTCCTATATCTTATATATTCTGGAAGTAGTGCAAATGCAGGGATGGGAGTAGATATTCTGCTGGGGTGGGGCTGGGTTGGTGCCCTTGAATTCCGTGAGGCTCTGCGATGCTGCTGGTTTGGACCCTGGCAAGATGGGCTGGGGTCTCCATGCCCTGGGTGGCATTTTGGCAGCAGAGGTGCCTATTGGAGCCAGTGGGGGAGCTGGCTCCCTGGAGGGCTTAGGCCAACCAGCCATTACTCCCCATCCCCACACATTTTTCTCCTCCTGCTCCCTCACATAATCACACAATCATGCACATAGGACCTTGGGGGTGGACAAGTCAGGGGATGCGGGTATGGACCCCATTTACGCATTCCTGTGGCAACCTGCCCCCCAATTTTATTTGCACCGTAAACACTTAAACCAACAACATTCCACGCAAAGACACACTTAGGGCCTTGGAAGTGAGCACATTCAACGGCATTTGGCAAGGGGATCTTTCAGCCTCATCCCAAGTGCCGGTGCCCAATTCCAATTTTAAACTGCACTTAGACACAGAGGGCTGTGGGTGTAAGTGGGGTGGTGTGGTGGCATCAGCTGGCATAGGCCAGACAATGCCCGCACTGCCCGCTCACCACAGCCATGGAATACACCTCATCATCATGCACTAACACTATATTGGATCAGACGGAGGAAGACTACGGGTCTTAGCACACCTCTGTTGTCGCTTGGCTTCCCGGGGCTGGAGGCTAGGAGGGGGATCTGGCCATCGGGTTGGGGTCTGGGGTGGTGGGCTGCTTTGCTCAGTGTTGGGCGGGGGAGCCTGCTCATCAGCACCCCAGCAGAAAGGGTCGAACTCTGGGAACCGGTAATGGTTGTACTCCATGTGCAGAAGTACCGGGACCAGAGTGAATAGGGTGTGTATGGGGAGCATGAGTGGGTGTCCGGCGTGCATTTTTGTTAGTCTTAGGTTGTATGTGTGTGTGAGCATGAGGGAGGGAGTATGTGACTGTGTTTGTGTATGACTGTATATGTCAGGTGGGGCCTTTGACTCCTCCCCTCTCCTGGGACTTCTTTTGCTGCTATACATCTTCGTCTCCTCTCCCCCACCACACCTGGTGTGGAGTGTGGTGCCTTGGTCTGCCTGAGTGTTCTCAGCTCCCGGGTCAGGGGGTTTAAGATTTTTGGCGTCTGCCTGATCAATCCCGGTGGCTGCCTGGTAGGATCTGGGTCCCTGTGAAAGTTCTCCTTACTGTCACCATAGGTACACCTCAACTATGAGATGAAACGAGAAGAGGATAAATCCAGACAGAGCTGTTTTAGCTTTGTGGGGGCTCTAAGCAAGATGATGTTCTGGGGCCCATTTTGCCAAACTACAATTGAACCACCATAATTTAGATTATTTATAAAACACCACAAAATTGGCGTTAAATGTGGAAATTGATAAATCACTTTCTATAACTGTTGCTGGGTGTTACAGACCACCATCGGCTTACAAGGAGGCATTATCATCCTTAAAGCATCTCTTGTCCTAGTTAAATTATAGTGAACTTATATTGGCTGGTGATTTCAACTGGGACTGGCAAAATGCAGGTTCAGATTAAATCAGAAGCTTCTGTGACTCCAGTTGGTCAACCAGCCCACAAGACCCCATCTTAAGAATCCTGATAAGTCCACCTTGATTGACTTCATTTTAGCAAATGTCCCTCATAAATTCTCATCTTTAGGCTTTTTCTGCAATGACTTGAGTGATCATTGTGTTGTAGCCACTACAGGAGCTCTAAAATGCCTAAATCCAAATCACGCATCATTTACAAGAGAGATTTTACACAACTCGGTGAACAACCTTATCATAAGGATTTGTCTTTGGTTAATTGGAGGCAAACAGATTTGTAACCAGATGTCGAGCTAGCATAAGCATTCTTCAAGGAGACTTTCATGGAAATTGTAAATAAGCATGCCCCCTTCAGGAAACTCAGAATCACAAGACGAGAAAATTCCTGGTTCTCCCCCGAACTGTAAAATATTATCCATCAGCGTAATGTGGCATGGGCCAAAGCCAGAACAGGAAATCTCCCCTCTGATTGGGTTATCTTCGGGACACTAGCAAATAAATGTACCACTCTCATCAAAAGGCCAAATCAGACTATTACTTATCTGTCACAAGTGAGAGCCTAAATAATCCACAGAGTAATCTGACAACTTCACTTCTCATGCTCTTCCTAAATGTATCCTAAACAACTCTGTCCCCGTTTATGATAAAACCGAGGTTTTAAACTGTTTTAACAATCTGTTCAGAGTCTACTTCTACTGGAACACACCCTGTTCCCATGCACCGATTCCCACATGACCCCTGGTGTATCTTTGAACTTTGTTCCTTTTACTGTAGAGCAAGTATATTAAATTACTAGAACTCTGGTCCAGACATGATATAACCCTACTTTTTAAAAATGGCTGCTGATTTCATAGCAGAGCCTCTTTTTAACCTTTCTCTTAAAAACAAACAAATACCATCAGTTTAGAAGTCTGCTTTTGTGTCTCCTTTACTAAAAGGTGGTGACCCAGCTCTATTAACAAACTACAGACCAATATCTAATCTGTGTGTCCTGGCAAAACTTATAGAGACCCTAGTAAGTCATAATTGAAAGACTTTTTATATTCAAACAACCTTCTCTCAAGTCTGCAATCAGGTTTCAGAAAAAGCACAGGTACATCACAGGTACCAAGGTGATCAATGACATAGTTGTTGCTCTGGATAAAAAGCAGTAGTGTGCCTCACCTTTTATTGATCTGTCAAACTGTCACACCCTGTCCTGTCTCCCCATTTGGTTCAGCCTGCGTCTCTGTTAATTGCTCCCACCTGCCTCTCGTTTTCCAATCACCCAAGCTCCCAGCCCTCTTGTATTTAAACCCCTCCAGTTCTGTGTCTCTTGTTGGCTCATTGTTCCCATGTCCTGTGTGCGTTTGTTATTAAAACCTTTTACGTTACCCAGTTTGTCTACCTGCCTGATTCCTCCCCAGCATGTAGATCCTCACCTCCGTTCCACTCACCGGCACGTCGTGACACAAACACTGTAGACCAGGGGTTCCCAAATTGCAGGGGGTCCCCACAATTTTGTCTTTGCTGAGATTGTGAGGTTAGCAAGAATTTATTTGTAAAAGTGACATTCATAAATTCCCAATAACACACCCTATAGTACAATCAGAACTCCAATTTATAACTATGTGTGTCTGTATAAAGATGGTAAATGATCACATTTAATGTGTGTATGCATGTAGGAGTTGGGGTTGGGGGTCCTGGCTTGTCTTGAACATGAGCAAGGGGGTCCTCAAAAAAAAAGTAATTGAGAACCCCTGCTGTAGACCATGCTGTTTTAAAACAAACGCTTCTTTGTTTGGGATTGTCTGAACATCATGGACTACTTGAAGGACAGAACTCAATGTGTTAAATGTGATGGGTTGTCCTCAGAATTTTTGAGTGTCTACAAGGGAGTACCACAGGGTTCAGTCTTTGGACCCCTCTTGTTCATTCCAGCTGTCATCCCATGCTCTCTTTACTTTATGTCCATAAATGTAACGAGTGTGGAAGTTTAGTAGTGTTATGTTAAAAAGAGTAAACGGAAAAAGCATTATTTATAGAGCGGGGGCAAATTTTTGTGAGCTAATTGAGTCGGTCAATGTGAAATTCCTGTCTTATAAGACAGCCTCTCTCTTTTTTATATTGTGATTAGAGGTGCTGAAAAAAAGCAATGATTTCAAGAAAGGATTTAGACTGTGACGCGTGTGTTTGTACTATCATGGCTGGATTATTGCAGCTACCTGTATGCAGGAATGACTCAATCTGCAATTGCCAGACTGCAGATGGTGCAAAATGCTGCAGCCAGGTTAATCTATGGGTAAAAAGGTAGGAGCACACATCTCCAGTCCTTGATACTCTGCAGTGGTTGCGTGTGAAGCGTACCATCGAAATGAAACTACTGGTTTATGTTTTCCAGGCGCTTGCTGGAACAGCGCCACCTTAACTTGCAGAGCTTTTAATAAGGTATGTTTCTACTCGACCTCTCCACTCTGCAGAGAAGGATTTATTGGTTAAGCCCAGCTTTAACTGCAGGTCTCGAGGGGAGCGAGCCTTTGCAACACTGGCCCCAAGACTGTGGAACAAACTCCCACTAGATATTAAACAGTCGTAGAGGTGCTGACTGTCTGGAATTTTAGAGCTAAATTGAATCAATATTACAAATCTAGTAAATATTATACTTTTTTGTACTCCTTTCATTGTATTGTTATTTTTCTGGTAATATTCTTGGAATGTTTTTAATTACTATTATTATTGTTTTTAGGCACTATGTGCATTTAAATTTAGTTGTTTTCAGTGTTTTTTTGTCTTATAACATCCATTTTTTTAGTATGTTATTATTGTTGTCTCTAATTTTAATGTGTATGATCTATGATTTTATCAAGTACTACACTTTGGGCCGCCTTGGCTGGTGGCATTAAGGTGCTTAATAGATAAATAAATGAAATGAAATTGAGGGCCTTACCATCTCCACCTGCTCCTTTTTCTCCTTGATGAGCTGCATGGTAGACTCATAAGCTTGGTCCACCAGCCCTCTGACCTCCTTGTCAATGAGCTCAGCTGTTGCCTCGCTGTAGGGTTTTTCCAGGACCATCTCACCCTGCCGAGGGAGATCAAACGAAACCTGGCCCACCTTCTCACTCATCCCGAACTGCACCACCTGCACCAGGAAGCAGAATGCAATAAGGTGTGCATTGTTGCTGATACACAGGAAGCAAGTCAATGTGATAAACATAAGACAAAGTAACAGATTTAATAAATCTACATTCCAACTCAAGAGGTGGCCTGTCTCCGTTTCACCAGGCCGGCCAAACGGGCCATTGTCCTGGCCATTTTCAGGAACCAATGGAGTACCTGAACAAGGGTAGCTATTCGGCAGAATAGCTGAGCAATAGCTTTGGTTAATTTGCACTGACTGGTTGTAACTCAGCAGGAAATGAATTCAGCAGACATCACCCAAAAACAACTGAAAAGTTAGGAGAGTTGTTGGTGAATCAGAAAATAAGCACCATTCGACCTGCTTTCTGCATCAGAATGGTTTGTTGTCATATGTGTGAGCAGGTTCACAACTTCAGAATATTGCTGTGGTACTTGGTGCAAAAATAAGAAATAAGAACAATAAAATAATCTTGTAAAATAACAATAATTAGAAAAACAGCTGATATATACAAGATCGTGTCATTCAGGGGTACTCAAATACAAGTCTCAAAGGGCCACATCAAAATATTTCAATGAGTCATAAGTCTGTTTGTCAATCATCGCGCCGCCATAAAATTAGCTTGAACACAAGTTGGCTTCTTCATCAAAACAATAAGCATACAATGCAGTTTCCATTTAGTAATAAATTCTATCCATAGTCGCAATAAAAAATCTATCCTTAGCAAATGGATACATACCACAGGATTTTAAGGTTGCTGTAGTCAAACCTTTACTTAAGAAACCTTCGCTGGAGAGGTGAGAAGCGCATGCGCTGACGGCCGATCACTAGACACAGCAGCGTTTGAAGCTGATGGCAGCTCGTTAAACATCCATTAACAATTAAGATGCATTTTCACCCAATTTATTTACTGACAACGCAAAAAATAATCTGGTAAGTATAACTCACTCAACCTGGAGGTAAGTGGAGAAAATTTTGAAAGTTTACAAAACTATACTGACGAAGCTTTTGAGTTTTTTGTTATGGGTCCGAAGAGGAGCTGTCCTCAGGACTCACCTTAGGTCTCATCTCCCTGTAAGGACATATTAGAATTATTGGATTCTATAGATAAACGGCTTCTGGGATTTGAGGGGCGACTCCACCTGCTTGAGGTTCTACATCAGGAGTTCCAGAACCTCCTTCCGTCTCTGGAATTCAGCCAGGAACAGGTGGGGCGGCTCGCTGCTGAGAACGCGTCTCTGCGGGAGTCCGTTTCTTCCCTGGAAGAGTGAGTGAAGCGGATCTCCCAGGACAACAAGATTCTGAAGGAGACGGTTTTGGACCTTCTAGCCCAAATCATAAGGGATAATTTGGTGTTCGCAGGCCTGCCGGAACAGATGGGAGGAGCAGAGAACTGCGAACAAACAATCAAGAACTTTCTCCAGACCCAAATGAAGATACCCAAAGAAACGGTACAAAAGATCACCTTTCACCGGGTGCATCGCCTTGGAGCAAAAAGAGTGGACAGCAGAAGACCTCGTCCCATCGTGGCTAAATTTGAACATTTTAAGCAGAAGGATCTTGTTAAAAGCCACGGAAGAGAGCGCAAAGGAAAACACTTCAGCGTGAATGACTAGTTTCCTAAGGAAATCCTGGATCGGCAAGGAGTCCTCTTCCCGCTGTGCAAAAAGTTTATCCAGGATGGGAGAAGGGCTGTCATCTCGGTAGATAAGCTTTTTGTGTACAACAAACTTTACAAGGAGCAAGGAGTGACAGACTGGCTGTATTAGCCCAACATCAGGTCACAATCCCCCCCCACCCCCCACCCCCTACAATGTTCAGCATTGTTTTTCTGAACAATCACACGATATTAAATCACAGTGCTTTTAGTGCCAACCACAGCCTTAAGACATGTGTTGAACGTGCCCAAGTCCATACTTATGAGAGCACCATGTGAGCACCTGTGTGTGTACACGCGCTTGTTTATGTAAGGTTTCTCTATAGGAGCGTCCAATAGAGAGTGTGAGAGGCCACAGATCAGCCCCCCAAAGATGTGTAAGAGATGGAGGGAGCTCCAAGTCCCAGAGATCCAGGAGCTGCCCCAGAGCACAGGAACCCCAGGGAGATTGCTACCAGAAAAGCCCCTGCCCCCCTCGAGAGGCGCAGAGGACCACCTCGAGGGGCCACAACCAGCAGCCGGCAGAGTCCCGGGAGATATCGGCCCACAGGCCCGCCCGTAGCCTCCCACCCCCAAGCCGGCCGAGCCTGGGACCCAGCGACCCAGGGGCTACCAACCCCGCCGGGGACCCAGCAGATTGAATTAAAGGATGACGTAGCACCACAAGATGTCTCAGAAAAGGGGAGGAGTCCAAGACCCCACCTGACATGTACATTCACACACAAACAGTCACACACGTCCACCCTCATGCTCACACGTAAACACATTGAACCTAAAGACACACAGGTATGTACATCACACACCAACTCACACTCCCCATACACACCCCACTCACTCTTGTCCTGGTAGTGCTGCACAGAGGGCACAACCCTTCCCGGATACCAGAGCTGGTAGTGTTTATTGTGCAGACTAAACTTCGGGCTGCCGCAGTACTGCAGAGATGAGAACCATGCACACCTTCTGAACCTACCCACACTCCAAGGCCTATGTGCGTGTTTGTGTGAAGATGTGAAGGGTTGCAGGAGTAGGAACATGTCTGAGGATGGGGAACAAAGGCTGGAGGGCCTAAACTCCCAAAGGAGCCAGCTCACCCGCTGGCCCTAATAGGCACCCCCGTTCCCAAACCCCACTTGGAGAAAGGACACCCCAGCCAATCTAGCCAGGGCCCACAGCAGCAGCTTCACAAAACCCCACGGAACCCAAGGTCACCAACCCAGTCCCACCCCGGCAGAATATATACTCCCACCCCCACATATGATCAACTTCCAGACTAGGGCTGGGCGATATGACGATTTTAGACCGTTTTACGATCTACACATCTGACGGTCTGTCATTTTTGAGAGACCTTTTTATCACGATTCACAGCTCTGCTGTTGAAATTCTGCCTCTGAATGAAAAAGGAACTTACCCCAGGCGAATGACACGCCTTTGTTTGACCCTTAACCAATCAGAGTGAGTCATAGTAATATATTAGTGCCCCGCTTGTTTTCACCTGTGTGTGAACAAACACGGCTTCCGAAGGGGAACGCAGGGTTTCCTTAGCGCGCGGCGCTAACAACTTAGCGACGTGACATGTCTCAGAGAAAGCGTAAAAACACGTTGGACGCTTCTTCTGAAGCAGGAAAATAACACTTCTTCTTAAGCAGAGCACGACATCGCCTCGGCTCGTTCACCCTCTGCCGAGCCGGACTGAGCTCAGTCACTGGGTCGTTGGAGCTGCCCCGTGACTGCCTGATGGAAAACCAGCGGGTTTCATCAGACTCGTAGTTTCTTGTTTTTGCTGGGGACCCCCTGTATTTTACCGCTCCCTCCTGCAGTCTTCCCCATTACAATTTAAAATGATTCTGTAAACTCTGTGTATCAATAGAAACAATCTCTGCCAGCTGCAGTAAATGTAGTTTCCAAATAATAAGAGGTGCATTCATCTGTGTATCTCCTTTGATCCGCATTAGTGATATTTTCAGCACCAGAACAGTGAAGCAAAGAAACATTCCTGAGTTTGTTAGTAATTTTATTTATTAGGTGCATCTAACCTGTTCTATTTTTCTCTGAAATGAGATCAAATCAGTGCTTCTATGGGTTGTCTCCAATCTGCACTGGAAATTTTTACTTTATTTAGAGACTTGTTGCAGAAAATATTCAGAATGTGCAGTTTTTTGCTACCACAAGCGATCTCTGGTCCAGCCGCACATCAGAGCCGTATTTGAGCTTAACTATCCACTACATGAGCAACTGGGAGCTACATATTATTTTGAACAAGTTAATGTTTGCACAATACGTTTGCAATTGACATGTTTGCACTTTAAATATGTTTACGATTTTAATGTATGTTAAGTTACTTGAAAAACGAGAAAAACTGATTTTTGTAATTGTTTCTCTCAGGGCTTTTATCATCTCTGGTGTGAGTTTAAAATATAAGTGTGTTAGCACTGTGTTGATTATCCCTAATATGAATAAATGTTTATTTATTCAATGTTTCTCTTCTTTAATACGCAATTGAAGTTATGCTATCCATGGATAAAAAATCGTGATAAAATCGAAATCGTGATAAAATATTGGAAAAATCGTGATATTCTATTTTTGCCATATCGCCCAGCCCTACACCAGACTATGCAAGACAAGAGACACCCAGGTAAAGATGGATCCTCCCTCTCCCAGACATCCCCCTTCCCTGTGATGGAATACCTGTCTGTTCAGGAGGTACTAAGGTTTACCCCTAGGCCCTGAAGTCAGGGCCAGGCAACGCCCCCAGTCCCTGCCCTTCTACTGGCAACAGACAAGCCAACCCCCGAGGCCCGGCCTGAATCCTCATCCAGGCAGAGGCTGTCTCAAGGCTAAAATGATCTAACAAAATAATTCTATATTGGTTAATGCAATTTTTTTTTTACTTTTCCAGTTCATGAGTATAGCTTTCAGCCCTAGGATCTGCCCTCCTGCGTCCTCTTGCAGCACCCGTCCTCCTGCTGCCCAGCCTGCACAGCTGCTGTGCATCAGCTCACTAGTGCCCAGAGAGCACAGAAGGAAGAAGCTGGGTAGCCTTTGGTGAGAGTGGAGAGTTTGGATCTGTGAAGTGGTCTTCTCCCTTTCCAGCATTCTCTCCTTATGAGACTGTGGTTGGTTTAGGTCTTATCTGTGGTATTTTATCTCTGCTAAGAGGGAGATAGTCTTTGTACTTATTAGTTCTAACTTGTTGTATTGGCTTGTGATTAGTCTTCGTGTGCTCAGAAGAGTCTTTTTGTGTTTGCATTTGTAGCAAGGGGTTGAAATCCCCTTTTTGTTTGGGTGTCAGAGTCAGATTACTTTAACATTGGGGATCTTTTTTTGTATCATATATTTTAGTTATTGG